AATAAGATTTTGTAATCAAATTGTTTAAGGCGCGCTGATTGCACGTTATACGGTACCGAAAAAAATCCAATAAAAGAAGGTAAAAGTTCATAAACTCTAATCACCAGAGTGCGAAAATAATAAACATGAAATAAACTCTTCAATTATTTGATCCACTCATATTGTGAAAACACATTCAGTGATTTTATGGCCCATTTGATCTTTATAGAATTTATGATGCCTTACAAATATAAAATGGCCATAGAGATTCTGTTAAATGTTTAAAAACACGAAATTTGACCTTTTTTCGCTTTTAAATTTGATAATTCGAAAGGCGTAGGGGGAAAAGATCATATGTATTTCAGATAAGTTTCAAAATGTGTATTTCTAAAGACAAAAAATGGCGATATGCATTCGTTGTTTTATTTTTAAGTACCTGAATATATAAAGAAAAGATAAAACTCTGTTCAGATAAAAATCCTGTAAACCTAGCAAAGACGTTATAAACAAAGGAAAAAGAAAAAGAGAACTAAGAAGAAAAAACTCACGTTTTCTGAGGAATCCATTACTCCTGGCCAAAACAAAAATTGACACTACATAAAACAAGAACAAAACCTTTCTGGAGCATCAGTTTAAAATATCAAATCATTTATCATGGAAAAAACGTTTCTATAGCAACAGAATTAAATATGTTTGATAAGTATTTAGAGAGAGTAGCTGGAATAAAAACTGTACATGGGATTTTGGTCTTAACGTTGTGATCAAAGTGATCAAGATTTCCCGCCATTGTTAACCCAGGCCGGCCTGCACGGGCATGAAGTCCGACCGTGCTCTTGATACTTTTGGTAGTTCAATTTTTGTATTTCTATACTGAAATCCCTGAAACTTCAATTGGACTGTTCCAAATTTCAAAGCAGGGCAAATCCATTACACAAATTCAGAAGGTTAAGGGTTAAAATAATACGTTAATCTGAATTATCGACACAGAGTGGAAATCTTGTAGCGTAGCAAACTTACAAACGTTAATTTGTCGGAATGTTCGTCTAATTTTGAGTACCTTCTCAGAAAGGCTAATTCAATTTCTCACAGCAGGTAGGTTCTGCTTCAACATTCTCGAGTCTTGGAATGCCATTTTTCAGTGAACCGAAAATACGGAGAAAAGTTATGCTGTAATGTTACGGTGTTACCACGCCTACGCCCACGCCTTTCTGTCTATATTTTGCTCTATGTAACAATAATTTTGCTAAAACATAAGCGCACATGCTAAAAGGTGTCTTGAAATTAAATATTTTGTTTTATTTGTTATTACATATACTCGCACGTGTTTTACTTTACTTTGCTCTTACTACAGACTTTTCCTGCAATCGCAATCTGTGGTAAAATGTCGATACGTATTTTACAAGCTTTATTTTAACACGCTTTTTGTTTGAATCTTGCAAGAATAAAGAATTTCAAGTCTTTTCTCGAAGAAACATGTTTAAACGCTTGCACAGCACTTCTTTAACGTAATTTTGGGTGTGAGAGGATGTTCGTATGTGCGTATATGCGCGCGCGCGTGTGTATGTGGGGGTGGGGCTGAGGGTATGGTAGAACACTTTCCTTTCCCTTAAAGGAAATAAAAACTGTTTACAGTCCATTTTCATAATCATCACCACTGCTGAGTTCGTGATACGCCACTTATTTTGGAATAACAAGGAGCATAACAACATTTTAACATAAAACAAGAATATTCTGCCCTTTGCTTCAACATTTTTTTCAGTCTAGACAAATATTCAAAATGAATCAACCAATGAAGAACAAGTATTAGATGATTAGATGATTAGAAATCATTTAAAAATCATGATATCATGCCTTATTTATTACATTTTGTAAATTAGATACAGAAATAAGTACCAAAGAAAATATTTTTAGGAATCTAAACATCAAAATTTTAATATGATCCGGATTAAACCGTTACAATGAAAAAAAACAACAACAAGAACAACAACAACAAACCACTCGAAATTGAATGCCAAGGTCACAGTAAAATCGCTCTCGTATTTGAGACACCAAAATCAGAAACCCGATATTTTAATTTTTAAAAGAAATGTATTTGTAGAAATACTTTGATTTAACAACAAAACTATTATGTACATACAATGATGGTTGTGTTTTCTGTAAAATATTTAAATGCCCGAGAAAAAATAAATTGTTCCTTCTTAAGAAAGGGCAAACACGAGTTTTATGACATTTAATTATTGTTTTAGAGCATGTTAGATGCTAATTATCTGGAAAAAAATCAGTGCTGAATGTGAAAAAATTGTCAAAAAGTAGCAAAATGTAAACAAAGTAGTATTTTGACTTCAATACAGAGTTATAAATCACTATAACATTACAAATTGCAAACAAGCAACAGAAGAAAAAGATGGATCAGATCATTGGCCAATGAGTACCCTTTGTTTTGAAAATGAAAAATGGCAACAAAAATAATTATACTTAAGAGAAAAAACACTCAACAAATTGGAGTATAATGGGCCTTTAAAGCAATACTAGCACAATTGACCTTATATAAACTTTTCGTTTAGTTTTTACATGGACGAACTTGGGACTCTACCGGGTATGATACTTTCCTTAAAAGAAAGGGTATATGGCCATTTCAGAACGTATTTTGTCGAGATAATATCTTTCTCTTTCAACTAAAAATTGTACCAAAAATGAAGCTATTATATTTAATTCAAGCACAGTTACATATTACAAATTTATTTGAGTCTTCACAGACAAAGATGTTTTACCTCTGTGTAAACGTTTCACAATAAAAATAAGACACATTTTAAAGTCAAATGAAAATTACAGACATGTTAATTTATTCATTATATGTTAATCTTATTCTTTTATAACACGTACCCAAGTCCCTAAACTTCCCGGTGTTTTATTTTACCTTTTTGATCAAAACTCTCGTATTTTAGCATTTTAAAGTGGTTTAAATTGAAATTATTAAATACCTAAACATCTATATAGATTAAACAAAAAAGAGGTAAAAATAGAACCAGAAAGGTCGCACATTGCATGCTGGCGCAATTTGATGGAGCGGTGTTAAATGAAAGTTAACTTCCATGCTCTCTAGCATTGGCTTAAAAGGTGTAATTTAGAAACTATGAGCGTTGGTCTTGGATCCTTCAATATGACACTTGCATGACATTCAATGAAAAAGGTGACATGCAATTCAAAGTGTAGTCAAAGACTGACCAAAACTGGAAAACAATGGACGGAACAAAACAAATGGAAATTTAGTTGTTAAAAGGGACCTTAGGTTATGAAGCCTGCGTAAAACAGACGTCAAAAGACAAATTTTAATTAGCAGACACAATAAGCATGCAGGAATATTACAGCTACCTATCAAAAAAAAAAGAACACAAAAATGTCGTTGTGGATGATATTACAGCTCTTATTATATCTACTGCGAGATTTTAATCACCACTACACGGCACGGATAAAGCCGATGTGACTTTCAAGCTTTACTGTTGGAGGAAGATCTCAGATGCCCCTTCTTGCATTAGATCAGCCACAACCCGGCGCCTGGGTAGAACCACAGATGTTCCGTTAGCTAGATGGATAGACTCCTCACACAAATCAATTCAATATCACTGATGGGATTCGAACCTACAGCGGTAAGTGGCTTCTGGTTGGAAGTCAACGAGCTGAACCACTCGGCCACGGAAGCCATTGGACAAAAGTACATACTCTTTATACAGACTAACGCTTTATATAAACTTATCATTTCATATAACAAAAAGGTTCAAATTTTACAGTGAAGTTGACCGAGTTATTCATTAAAGTTATGAGAGAAAATAAATTCAAAGCTAGAGCATGGACCTCAAGTCAGCATGATTTCAAAATAAAAAGCATGTGCATTAAACTGAACTAATGAAAGTATAAGAGTGAACCTTGCTCATAAAGTTTTAAAAATAAACAAAGTAAACTATAAATAAGGATAAAGATTTGCTCTTTTCCCATCAGCCTCTAATAAGAGCTTAACTTTATTTGGCCATCTTTATGTCTTTAAATCAAAAGATGATTTTCATCAGACATGCACTATTTACATTGAATATAAAATAAGTCATCATTCTAGTCAATTTTTCGGTGTATAATTAAGTATCAAATCTGTTAATGTGTCTCAATGAACAATTATCCTTTGAAATCATCCAGACTGATTCGATCTATATTTTTTTATCTTTCATATTATTTACTTTTTCCCATATAATTATCATTAGCTGGACAATTTAACACATATCCATTCTGTGAAGTTATGACGCTGTATTGCGATGAAAGAATGACTAAAACGACCCCAATCGGTGCATTCATTAAGAATTACAGTTGTCCGCGTTCCGTTGTATCCTCACGTTTTTGTACATTAATGTTTCGGTGTATCATGCTTTTTCATACTTAGGACAAATTATTCATTCGTGTTTTGTACATCCCTTTTATAAGTCTTATGCTAAACATGTTAGTTATAAATGTTTTTTTTGTATTCTTTTTATGTTGGTTTCTTATTATTTATTATATTCTGTACATCCACGATACAAATATGTTGTGCAGCCACGTTTCGTATGTTTCACCTATGTTTCATATAATATGTATGTATTTTCTTCCTAATTTTTGTATAACCTTGCTTTTAAGTGGAATAATCATGATATGTTTTATAATGTTAAGCTATTTTATATCCTCAATAACTTTTGTAAACTTATCTTTAATTGCAAGCTCCTGTTATATGCAATTAATTAACATAATATAATATAATTTAAAGGCGCCTTTATTAGTATTCACAAAGAGTAATACAATGTTACTAGAGTAGAAACACAATACACCATTCAAAAAAGTGTTGTTTTTTTATGAAAACAAACAAACATAAAATCGAAAGAATAAGAGAAAGAAAGAAAGAAAGAACTAAACGAATGAACGAACGAACGAACGACAAACAAACAAACACACGAACGAAGGAACAAACAAACAAGAAAACGTTATCAACTAAGGATCATACTTACAGTGTCATGCTGTGGTCTGTAGAACATCTGACCCGTCGCCATTTGACCCCTAACCTGTCCTCGAATCAAGTTAGTCACAAATACTCCAGTCCCCTTTCTGATGAGGAGACAAAAAAAACTTATAAATAGAACTTATTCTTATCTAAATCCCTAATACATCCGTCCGTGAGAAAACTAAATAGTTCATACGTTTCGTAAATAATTGTTGAGAGCAAAAAACACCTTTTTAAAATAGTTGTTAAAACAAACATACATGTAAAAAATGTACCTATTTACTCTGGACCACAAAAACTACTATTTAAAATGAGCTAACAAAGTGTTTACAAAGGTATCAGACGGGTACGTATAGTAAGTTATTTACCGCTTTATTTGATATACACGGAGTAAATAACAATAACAGACACTTTGTATTATTAAACAATATCCTTAGTTAAAGTATCAATAACCGAACTCGAGTCACAAGTGGTGAGAATCAAAGTCTATCCATAAGATATTTAATACATCCATTGAGTTATTGTCATGTACTTAATTGTTCACGAGTATTCATTAACATGTATATACACTATCGTATATTAAAACACTTGTTTAAAAAAATATTTTCCTGTAACGACTACATCAAAACCAAAGCATAAGATCCCAAGTTTTAAGAGAAAAGAGGTAAAAATAAATATTTCTCAAAGAGGATTTTTACGCACTTATTTCCTTGTTGTTTTTTTTTAAAAAAATACATGAAAAGTGAAAGTTAAAATTCCACCGGCTCTACAATAAGGAAGTAGCATATAGCTTCTGTATGTTAACACTAAATCATAAATCGGCTGGGCTTATCAGATGTTTTATGTAGAAACGATGCACTATACGTATTCATAATCACTCTAACATCTTTTCTTCACCTCTGCACGTGTTCATAATTTGCTTAGAAACTTTTGCGCATGCGCAGTCCTCGGATATGATGTTTTGTTTGTTGGTTTGTTATTTGTTTTATACAGGTGATGAACAGCTGGACTTGTTTAAAAGCATGTTTTTATGGTCGGTGGTAGGATCAAACTGATTCGCTCATTTAGGTCATATTTTATTGCTCTAAGTTAATATTGTGTGAATGAAACATTTTGAAATACATGTATTGTAATTACACCCGACGCAACTACTGCGCGTGTAAACGGAATTATTATAAATGTATATCTATATCTATGGAGAATCAACATCAAAGCCATAATCAATTGTTCTACGTTAGTTTCGCAATATTTATAAGACTGCGAATATGGTACGATAACTGTGTATCCATGTATTTCATTCTAAGTCAAAAGTTACTTCCCTTGAATATAATGTACCTTCGTTAATGTTTGAGAGCCAATCGCAATTTTTACGCCCTTTCCGTTAGTCTTCGGATAGGTAAATCGAAACCAGAGACACAATATACCATTATCATATGTCTCTGACCGAACGCAAAAGTAATAATACAAAAACGGATACGATATTTCGGTCTAACCTACATGTACGCTACAAAACTTAAATATGTAAAATTGTTCGGATTTGTTAGTTTGATTTATTATATCGAGTAAATGTTTACCTTAATTTAGTTTTATATATTGTAAAGTAAACAGTACATTGTTTATGATGTTTGTAAAAAATCGGAAATTGAGGAAATTTAATGTCAACCTGATGACGATATTTCAGATTTGGTTATAATTTTACTTCAAAGGGCATTCATAATTTATTTCTGATTGTCAGATATATTTTTCAATCATAACTTTACTGAAATAGATTATATTTTCCGTAGGGTGTCAATAAATACGTTCGTTATTCAGTATCTCTGTTTCTGTTTTACATCTATTGACACGTGGTAGAAATATAACTCCGGGATAATTACTAATTATCGTCGAGGTGTTCCGAATTGTTAATGAGCAAGCTGTTGTCCATTCGCTACTGGTATTACCACTGCTAATGCGTCTAAGATTTCTACCTCTTAAATTGTTTGAAATAATCCCGCATTAAAACGATATGAAGATATTTCAAGCTTCTGAAATTTGCAAGAAAAAGCATAAGTAATTCATCAGTAAATGAAAATCATGATAAAAGTATGCTGTTCAGGATATTGACACGAATTCATATGTACATGAATGAATATTAATGCATTTTTAAATATACATTTTACTGATTTGCATAAATAATGCATAAATGATTAAAACAGAATACTTTATAACTAGCTTTATTACAAAGAACTACAGTATGTATGTGTGTGTGTGTGTGTGTGTGTGTGTGTGTGTGTGTGTGTGTGTGTGTGTGTGTGTGTGTGTGTGTGTGTATGTATGTCATGCAAAGAAAGAGGCACATAAGGTATCCTTTGTTGCGGTACTTTTGACATAAATGCACTTGAAGAATATGTAACCAACTATTTAAAATGCACTATCAAGTTGTGGTAATTTAAAGGAATATTATGTATTAGTATTTTATTTCCTTCTGTAAATAGGGCAAACATGAATTATGTATCCTTAACACATGAGTTGAATAGCGTCAAATGTAAAATAATTTATGAAGATGGTAGCAAAATGCAAACAAAGTTGTATTTTGACTTCCATACAAAAATAATAAATCATCACTACTTACGAAAGGCCAAAATGGCTTAGCCTTATGACAGATAAAAGTGATAGAATTTTTGGTTAATTGGGCCTTTAAAAAAATTAAATTTAAAGCTTCCGTCAGAGACTGAGGGTAGTGTGCATTTTCTAGTGTTGGCATGGAGAGCTGTTGAAACTGTAAATCTTTCTAAGGGTTTTCAACATCCGGTTGATTTCTCTGTGCAAATCACACAATTTTGAAATAACGTGACACCGTTCGGCTTCCGGTTTTGTAAACCTTCTTTAATATAGTACTCCTAAGTTTATTTGTGGTCAAAAGATGGCTTAATTACTAATTTTGCTGGTCGGTAATTTATAGGTACCCCCACCAGATTTGTGCGCATTGCTCTTATTAATGTATTTTAACAGCACAGTGACTTGCATTGCACAAATCACGTGACTGCGTAGTTTCAGAATTTCTTAATAGTTACATAAATAACAGGATGAAATGATATCAATTAACTTATTGAATTTATTATTTTAATTTTGATTACTTAGATAACAACCGCAACAGGAGTAAAACAACCGATATGTGTTGACCAAAAATAGCTCGCACGTGAATCTCTCGTGGAAAATATCAAAGTATTTATCATTGTTACATAACTGTTGATTTATTATCATAATAAAGAAATTGCACGTTATTTTCGTGTCATCATTAAAACCTTTCACCGCAGACGACTGGCGTTTTTAATCTTACATGACAAGTTGCACATGATTAATGATACTGGATTGCACATAAAATTTGCATGTCATTAATAAATCTAATTATTCTGCTACTGCAATTTATTAACATATTTTAAACAACTATATAACAAATTTAATGAGTTGCATAGGTCCTAACAGAAAAGAAACAACAGCACAGCTGCGAGAAAAGTTTGTACGTTCTCATATAAAAATGAGTTCACAATACATGTATATTTCATAAAAAACCGACAAAATATAAGTGTGAAAATAATAAATAATAATGTGTAAAGAAGACGACGTTACTATTATGTTTTGGCTTGATTAAACACTTGCTCTTCAGTTATAAATAATTTTTAAATACATTTTATTGTTCCGGCGCTAGGGGGCATCTTTACAATTTTCTCATAAAATCTGCACTTTTTAACAATTTGTTTTGCTGTCTATGCTCTCGAGGGACATTACCTTTCTAGATTTAAGATATACACAGATTTTAAGACTTTTTTCAAAATTAATATTAGACTTTGATGCCACACTATACCTATGCAAAGTTTCCCCAATCAAATTTATATAAATCACATTCCATGAAATCAACATTCGCCTACAAGCAACCAAATCTAACATCTTAGCGAAAACGCGTTTCACGATATTAATAAATCAAAGAACCCACCCGACCAATATGTACATCCATGCGTAGTGGTTAAACTAAATAACTGTACAAAGTCTTGCAATATTAACAATGTCTTTTGAAACAAGCACCTTCTACTTCCGGTCAATGTACTATTCTTGGGTGCTTGTAAATTTTAACTTGCATTTAGACTCGTTTATACGCTGTGAAATGTTATGTTCCTTCTAAGTAAGTACACATTTTTATAAAGATTGTGGATTATGAAAAATGGCAAAATAAAAATGAAGGTAACAGTGACATAGTTGATGACAAATTGCCTAAAATATGCCACAGTGCACTATTTAAATTATTTACGATATTATAGAAGCAGTAAATACTAACGCACTTGCATAATAACTAGAATTCAGCTTGCATGAATGTCATTGCCCTGCGACGCCCAGAGCAATGACATTTACGCGAGGTGCTTTTAAAAAAATCGCATTTCTTCTGACAAAGCGAAAATATTCAGAATTAAAATGTTGAAGGTTCATGTACAAATATTTCGTTATAAATCTGGTCAACTGATGTTCTTTTCCAAAGACCATAGAGTAATAAACGTTATCGCAACGGTGGAACATTTTGGCTTCCGTAGATTTAAATTTAAATTTACATACGGCCCCGAATAGCACAGTACAGTACAAGGAGACCAATGACGAATGGATGACAAACTATGGGCACCGATATGCGCCTTCAATAACTATTTCCGTGCGAATTCACCAATATTGAAAAACTTATGTCCTACTGCTTAATGAGCAGGTGAATATCACGTGACATTTCCAACAAAAATTTTACATATTTCAACAAAAGAGACGCCTTTACTTGATCACTACATCTAGTTATTTTTTCTTTTGTTTGAAACTGGTGGCGCATAATTATAACCATGACGCCCTGCACATGACGTATCTTCCTGAAATCACGTGCTTTGGCGTTTGCGTTAATATAAATGTTTCACACTACTTTATCACATGTTCATGAGGTTAAATGATTTCCGTTAATAAACTTTTTTGGGGGAAAACGTTTAACGCCCATCAGGACATGGAAGTGAATATGCTTGCAAGTGTCATGACCGCTCAAAGGAGATGAAGAACTCTAGCAAGCGTTCTTTATTAACGTAACATCATAGATATAGGCCTATGTCTTGGTTTTCCTATCTTACATCTACATACATACATGTATATATATATATATGGATATCAGTTAAAGAACATATGGATTCAGGGACATTCTGTGGTTGAAAGATTTCAGTGATATTAGCAAAAGTCTAATTAAATTAAACCGATCATTGCCGAAGTCAAGCGCATTCGGAACACTTCGCCTGTAATAAATATCCTTTTCCGAAGCTTGGCGGAAAGGACCGAGAAGTGGCAATTGAGATAGGAAGATATAGTAAAGCTATAAAGTATAAAACATGCATAAAATCTGAATGACATGTCATTTCATAAAGATTAATTAATTAAAATAATTAAATTTCTGGGATGAGCTTCATGCTAATCATATCATGACATGTGGTCACATGATTATGTGCCATATGTCCGACACTGTGTTGATGCGACGTAACCCCTCCCTCTAAAAACATAACAACAACAACAAAAATCCATTACAATGTATTATGTAAAGCAATTATCATTATACTGTCCTAGGATGATAATTTGTCTCTTAATGGTAAATGGGAAAGTCCAAAAACGGGGTTATCTGGATTATTATCCGATATCGTAAAAGTAAACACTTACATATACTATAAAGCATTATTCTTGCATAACCGTTATGGCTCTGCCGGTAGATCGGAGTAATTGTAACTTTTAGTGTTTTGTACTCATAGGTTCGAACCCCACTTAGTGCCATTTCATAACCACAGTTTTTTCTTCTTACTCTGTTTTTTTATCATTATTATTTATTCAGTTTTCGTTTTCCTTTTTGTTTTCTTCTTATAATATATAGTTTATAGTATATATTTATTTTTTTCATTTCCATTCTATTTTCTTTTTGTAATTTTTGATCGCAGTGTATTAAAATATGGTCGATCTCATATTCATGTATGTATATGAAAAAAACCCCGATCAAACGTGTTTTCTGCACAATTGACTGTTCTGAGGGGGGAAAAGGTGTTGTACCAATAGTCGAACTTCTGTCTGTACGGATAAACACATTACTGACACAGTTGCTCTAACTACTGCGCCAACAACACATATGATAATATGTATAGTTTTATTTTCATTTTTATAGGTTGTGGCATTGATCTGCCTTACCTATTTTTCGCATTGTCATTGGTCTTTGTTATGTAAACAAAGGCTCAAAAACGGGTACTCTGCAAGACTGTACCTCTGCTCTCGCATGTTAACTGCTTAAATGACGCGGTGGCTGAACTGTGCTCTGCAGCCATGGTTAATTCAATGTGCATGGCTAACTGCCGTGATCCGGAGTCAAAACTACCAACACCATCACCAAATTCATTAATAACACAGTGGACATGGTGTTTTGAAGGTACTGTTTGAAGGTACTGAAAATGTTTGATATTTCTGCCAATATACTGTTTCTTTTTTCTTGCATGAGTGTTAGAAATGATCATTATTTTTGTGCTACAACACGAAACTAAACATTTTGGTAGCTTTGTATATATATTTGTGACTAAGAATGGAGGTAAAAAAGTTGAAAGTTGTCGACAGTTAAATTGCTGCCTGTCGCTATATTTTGGAGCATGCATTTTCATCAATTTATGACATCCTTGAATTATGCTGAACAATTGGTTCACTTCTTATGTGAAAGGATTTTTGTATTTGGAATCGTGTTTTCGGTCACACTGAACGACAGAATTGCTAATTTTCAGGTTCCCTGTTCCCTTAAACACTGTGGACAGAAGACTGGATGCAACGAATTTGCTCGAAAAATTGGCTGACGAGGAAATTGCTTATGTATCTTTTATTCCTACTGCTTATTAATTTAAAACTTCAAATATGAGTGATATTATTAGGCTAGATTCAAACCGATATAGGTCAGGGGCAAGAGGTTTGAAGTTAGCGACCTTTACCTCTCGACAATACTAAACCGACCATTTTTAATTTTTAAAATATTTCAGTTATAAATGAATAAAAGAGGTATCAAAATATTTTTTTTTATTATGTTATCCATGAATAAACAGTAACAAATTACTATATTCAAGTTTATAAATCTAAAACATGACAATTAATAGAACACTGTATCTAAGTCCTTTTATTCTATTTCATGTTGAATTCTAATTCATGTTAAATGTTATAAAACACAAACTATCATAATTTAAAAAAATCCTTTCCAAGAAAGATTGCCGCGTTCTGAAGGAACTATCGGTCATGTGAATCATGAACTAGACCCATCTCCGTCCCAGATGAAGATAAAACAGGTACCGGGGTTCTTGAAGGCGGATTTTTTGTCTGTACACAAGATGGTAACGTAACTGGGTGGTCCTTTTCTGAATCGTTTTGCAAACGCACGGAAATATCTTCTACAGTCTTTGGATTATCTATGTCCATCTCATTTGAACGGTTAGGAACGTTTTGAGTCATATTCCGGATTTTTACAAGAGCTTCTAATCTCTGAAAAAAGCAAATGATCAAAGATATTGAAAATAGAAATTCATTGGCAACAAGAAGTATGACTTCTACAGAAAATATGTTAAGACTTAGTGATGTTTTAAAAGGTCGAAAGCAGTTGTGACAATGAAAACATATCACTAATCAACTAACAAAATTAAATTAAAGAGCTGGTCAGGAACAAGTATTATTGTTATAATGAGAGAACATGTATGTAAAACTAATGTCCGCTGCATATTTTTAAAACTATTTCATGATAATGAGCATGTGGTTCGTTTTCATTTCACTTTAACATGAATAGAAATAATAATAATAATAATAATAATAATAATAATAATAATAATAATAATAATAATAATAATAATAAGTCCTTTACTGCCTTTAATCAAGGGAATACTTTACTCGCAGACCACTTTGTTTTGCAAGGTGTGTATATCCGTATTTACAAAATTCCACTGATTTCAAAGAATTTTTGTGTGTGTTTTCTTTTCCCTTTTTCCTCATAGCTACATCAATTAATATGGTAAACCAAATTCCCTTTAACTTTAATAATATTCTTCAATAGTATCAAATTTAAAAAGTGAAAAAATAAAGCATCTATACTTTTATTTAAAACATAAAGAATATACCGGTATATAAAATATATATTGCAATAACACCTCTGAAAGCAAATGTGTTACTCAAATAAATGAGTGAATGATTGAATAAATAAATGTATAAATAAATAAATAAATAAATAATAAATAAATAAATAAATAAATAAATAAATAAATAAATAAATAAATAAATAAATAAATTAATTAATAAATTGATTAATTGATTGATTGGGGGTATTATTTGTGGTTTTTCTAAAAGGACAATATTTATTTTCATCGGGGGGTATGAAAATAAATATTTCATGAATGAAGTGGCGGTATATATCTACGAATTAAATATGATGATTTCCCCAACCACAAGATGAAATAAATAAATAAAATATAATGTAACCTGTACACGCATCAGCATCATTCTGTATTGCATCACAGTTTGTCTCAGCCTTTCTTCTATCATACCAAAACGGTCATGTTCCCTACGCAATTCCTTTATGTAATCTATAGTCGCTTTCAGCACAGCAGCTTTGTCTTGCCGATATACGCTGAAATAAAAATGAAAATCAGGATCCATGCTGTTCGCTTACAAACCCTATAACAAGTAGAGAAACTGATAGCATTGATCCTGATCAGACTGCGCGGATGTCGGTCGCAAACCCATTATGTTGGCTTTGTCATGACGCGGCTCAAATGTATTTGTTAAGTTTTCGGAAAGATCAGTGTCATTAGAGTTTTTTTTTTATATACATTGTAATTATATAAAGTTATTAAAATAATATGAATTAAGGAGGCTGCTAACATTTTTTTTTTAATTTAAAGGCCCATCATGCCTCAGAAATGCTATTTACGTGTACTTTTATTTTTCATAAGTTTGCATGTTTGTGTACTTTAATTGTTTCCATAATGTTACTCATTGGCAAATTACCTAAATCATAATTTTTTGCAGTAATTGCAGTTAAAGTGATGTAGTATTTTGTATGGAAGTATAAATACTATTTTTTACGTTTTGCTACTTCCTTGATTTCACATTTATCGATATTTTCTCCATGTAACAAGCATCCAACATGCACTAAAATTATTATATAAACATCATATTTTCATGTTTGTCCTTTCTAAAGAAGTAAAGATTTATTTGTTTCAAGGGATAATGTATATACCTTTAATAACTCAACGGAAAAAGTTTTGATACTTAGCTGGACCCTTTGCGTATAAATCAAGACTTTAGACGAGGGAAACCCAGCTCATATGATTTATTAAATACAAGAGATATATAAAACATTTTTCGTATTTTCGTATTTTTCGACATATTGTGCTATATTTGTATGACCTCCATTCCGCCTTTTCTGGTCCTTAACAAAAAATATCTCAGAATCTGGTCAATGCGTCATTTTAATTTCATTTTAACTTTTTAACATTTTCTGCAAACGTGTTTTATTTTTGAACTTTGAAAAAAAAGAAGAAAAAAAACGAAAAAAAAAACATCCATACATTAAGCTTCCTTTCTAACACGAATACTTTTATCCTTATTCATACATCAGCGTTATGCTACATAATCAACTTCAACGGAAGTCATTTTTAAAAGGACCGCAGAAAATAATTAATGCAGACGACACGCTTTACAAAAACGCATTGTATGTAATATAGTAGTGAACTCTTAAAAAAACTTAAAAGTGAACGCAAGTTAACTTTCTTAAAACCAAATTTAATATATTGCATGCCAGAACAAAGATCTTCTGTTTAATTCTTTGAGTATCTTGAGTATCTAAAAATTCAGAAAAAATAATCGTCAGATAAGCAAGTTATGATACGAAACTGTTTGCAAAATTCATTCTGGACTCTGGAGTCAATATTCAATATCCTAATCCAATGAATGAGAATTACAAACCTCCTTGCCGCTGTCAGTTCGAATCCCACCAGGGACTTTGGGTTCTTTCATGTGAAGAAGCTATTCATTTAGCTTACGGAACGTCGTTGGTTTCACTCAGTGCCCGCTCGTCCATGGAGTCATAAACGGATGGTCACCTGAGGTCTTTCACCACACACTAGTAAAGCTGGAAAGTCGCAATATGACCCTATCAGTGTTAGGGCGACAAGAAACCCAACAATGATAGAAAGAAAGAAAGAAAAGAAAGAAATAAAGAAAGAAAGAAAGAAAGAAAGAAAGAAAGAAAGAAAGAAAGAAAGAAAGAAAGAAAGAAAGAAAGAAAGAAAGAAAGACAATTCCATCGACCTGCCAACGATGGAGACGGACTTGTTTAAATCATATCACTTTCCTGATCAAAATTTAAGAAGAAAAAAATCTTACGCATTTTCAGATTTTGGTAGTAACTCCCCTAGCTCCTTTATCTTTTCATTTAGTCGACCCCTCCTCTTTTCAGATTTAAATATTAACATCTTAACAGTCCGTACAACACACACTATCAAAAACAAAAAGGAATATGGCCTTAGATAATTAAAAGTGGTAATATATGTAATTCAGAACGATGTGAACTTTAGTATTGTCAGCCGTTTGTCAATCACGTGACTTAACGTGAAGCGTTAGTTTGATGAATACAATATGTTCAGAAAACTGGGCGGTTTTAAAGCCTGCTATTAAATTGACACCAACTAAAAATAAAACAAACGAAGAGATATAAACTTGAGCGGAATTGTTTGGATTCAGGCATGCATGTTTGCTCTAATGTCAGAGACGCAGATGAGAAAAAAAAACTGATTTAGGAAACAATGTAAGGTTCAACGTGATCAACCTCATTTTTTACACATGATTGTGTGTTTTCGCTCAATCAGTTGTCCTGAAAATTTTAAGTATTCTTTTGTATTTAAACTGCCACGCTGATAGACATGAACGGAAATGAAAAATGCATGAATGGATAAAATCTTAAACTGCGACACTAATGGACATGAACGGAAATGAAAATTGCATAAACGGAAAAAAATCGAACGGGCAATGCGTGATACCGCACTTCAAAAGCAAAAGTCCGACCCCAAAGTGCGGGGTCTTCACAGCACACTTTGGGGTCATCATCGAGAAATGAACCCGAAAGGACGTTAATATACTACATATCAACGCACTTTGGGTTCCAAAGTTCTGAAGGTGCAAATTGAATTCTGCTTAAATGCTGAGTACTGACCAGTGACCTCAAAACCAAAAGGGGTCATCTACTAATCATGACTAACCTCCATGCCAAATATGAAGCCTGTGGGTCAAAGGAATCTTAAGTTATTGGGCGGAAAAGCTTTTTTAGTCAAGGCCCCTTTGACCTTGACCTTTGACCCAGTGACCTAAAATCTAAAGGGGTCACCTATTAATCACGACTAACCTCCATGCCAAATATGAATATTGTGAGTCAAAGGAATCTTAAGTTATTGGGTAGACAAGCTTTTTATTGTCAAGGCCCCTGTGACCTTGACCTTTGACCCAGTGACCTCAAAATCAAAAGGGGTCATCTACTAATCATGACTAACTTCCATGCCAAATATGAAGCCTGTGGGTCAAAGGAATCTTAAGTTATTGGGCGGACAAGGAAAAACCGACGGACGGCCAGACGTCCGGCCGGCCGGACAGACGGACGTCTGGACGGACAAGCTGATTCTAGTAAATCCCCCTTACAACTTTGTTGCGCGGGGGTATAAAAATTACTCTAATGCACCTTTTCTAGCATTAATATCTGCAGAAGTCTCTTAGAATTATTTAATCGTTCTTCCGGTTTGAACTTTAATCGCGTCTACAGATGATGACGCATGGAAATAAAAGTGCATTAACCGAGAGACCTACATTCGCCAAACTTTGTCCGTTTCTGACAGCCTACAACTTAATAATTAATGATCATTTTAATTTTCAGTGCGTTCTTCCGTTCTCTTTTCTTACTGGTAAATATTAGTGGCAATTTACTTTATTTTGACGTTGATATATTGCTTAAACTTATTACTAATTTATGATGGTTGAGAATTTATTCCTTATTTGTTTCCATACAAGGAAAGGAATACGGAATTGGAATTGTCGCCACTACAATTGTGTGTGTATGAATTGCATTTTGATGCCTATATATATTTTTTGGTATATTGAACAGGGGGTATAGTCATGTGTCACATTTAAATACATTCAGACAATATAATTATTGTGTACACACGTATGAGACTTTTACGCGCTGACTTGAAATTAAACCTGATTTGAAAGAAACCATATTGTATTTGTATTTTAATTAGACCATAAAAAGGACTAGCTACGAAAACAAGCTCAGAACGTTTTACAAGACACACGTGTATACATTGGCTAGGAATGAATAGTCTTTTGCGCTTCATCTTTATCCTTGACAGCAACATGGAAACTGAAATAAACTTTTTTAGAAAGTACAACCAAGGTCGCAATATGGTTACACTGGGCAATGTGATAATTATCGAAAGAATTAGAATGAAGATAACAACCTCCACCCCCACAAAAGCAGCCCAGCATCCACAGTCACCTCCCTAAAAACGGAACGGCACCAAGCGGGGCACGGAATAAAAACGAGGCAAGCTCCGGATGCGCAGGCTGGTCTGGATCCATGCTGGTCGCAACCCATTATGTTGGTTTTGTCGTGACGCGGCTCATATCATTTAACAGAATAATGATTGCAGTCAAAATAACTTTGCGACTGTGTTTCAAAACTGTATTAGCATAATGTAACAGAGGAAAGATGAATTAATCGTCTTACTGCATATGTGAGATGACATGTAATAACGCCATTGTTTTGCACGCAGGATGACATATTATATTCTACAATACTTTTAAAGTCGTCCGTGACCCTTCCACCGCCTTTATTTTTGGCAAATATCAGCATGGTCCCTCCAATAAGAGAAAAAAATACTTATCGATCAAAAGAATTCAAAATGGCAGTTATTAAATCTACGACTCAGCTATGATAATAGTCGGTACAGCTTACAAATATATTTATGGCGGGTTTTACTTAAGTCGTTACTCCTTTGGTTGAACTTAAGAAGTTGGTGGAACATGTCTTACAGTCTCCTACACAACCAGTACCGCTAACGTATATCAGTGCGCTGAAAGTGAATGTTAAGGTGATGTTAGAACTCTTGGGTAAATTTTTCAACCGGTGCTGCAGATGTTTTAAAGCATTTCATTTATGGACGCCTTACCACGTGACATTTTGCTATCAAATAGACATAGCAATCTTCTTCAATTGCGTTTAAATTTTTCATCTGTTTTATTCTTTCTTTATTGATCAATGATATATATGTCATTTCAATCAGATATCGATCATCTCTTAAACAGCTTGAATCATTTAACTATCACAAAGACGTCAACGCCGATGTCAAAGAACTATCTCGGATCTATTGAGATTAGATTGATCTGTTGGCGATGTTTAATATACCATTGATTAATATCCATATTAAATGCACAACTTCTTTTCATGAACTTGTAAACATGTAATTTAGTTTTGCAATATGTTACAGTACCGGCATTTCAAATTTCAAAACTCTTTTGGGGAAGGTAAATAAATCACTGATTGATCATGCTTTATAAAGATATATGAACAAATTTTTTTCTTCATATTTATAAATATGGTCACTCTACCGGAAAAATCCGATTTAAGGATTAAAAACAGAATTTGAACGATTGAAAATGTGTTTTATAGAAAAGTTAACTCTTATGAACTGTGTTTATAAACAAGACAATTTTTAGTTAAAAAACAACAACAACAACAACAACGGAAATATTAAAAGATAATTGTTTGAATTAGTTTTTCGTACTTACATAAGAAAGGATTAAAACATGTTTCAAATGAAGGCGGACCAAGTATGTTAACATTTATGTTATATGCATAAGTAACTTAAAGTGTTGTCCAGGCAGTATACGGACTGGATGGAATTTAGAACTGCTTCGCGTTCATTTTCATGATTTAAGCGTCAAACTATCAAAAATATATAAAGCTGTATAATATATTTACTGCCTGTAGTTTACAAATTAATTGTTAAATTTTTTGAAAAAGAACAATGGCAAAATACCAGTATAAAGGAAATATTTCTTTATATTTCATAAGAGCAACGGCGCATGCACAACATCATTGTGAAACGGTTAAAACAGAACATGATACTATTTTTGTTTTGAAACTTTTATTCTGTTACAATTTTTCCTGTGTGTAGATTTAAAAAACAACATTCTATTTCACAGCTCTTTCGAAAAATGGCCACAATATTTTTGGAATCAACATTATTTTACCATAAATGAATTTTATACAAAAATATATAAAATTTTATATGAAAATATTTCCGTAGATATAGCTTTATACCCTTTTAATTTACCTAATTAACAGCACAGATTCTGAAAAAATAGCAATAAAATACAGATTTGACCAGGCTTTATATTTATGGTATGCGATAGTCACTTAATTCAAAGCACACTAAAATTTAAAGCACACTATCATACTTTAAAAGAAAGATTGGTCATCACAATGTAAGGATTCATAAAAATATATCTGAAAAGTAATCTTAAAAAGATTTTGTCGCCACTTAACACTGTGAAAATTTCACCTGTATTTGTTTAACCGTCAGTTATTTCACTAATAAATCATATATGCCAATAGGCCAAACTAATAGTTTTTAAAGGTATATTACCGAACAATAGGGGGCGATTACAATCTAAAATCAACTAGCTAAACATGTATATACCATGTCAGGACAAATCTATAATCGGGTTTTACTTTTTTCACAGTGATTAAGACAAGAGGTATATTTGGTTGTTTGAAAGGATTTTTTTCGGAGTTTTTATTCGTTGTTGTTGGATTTTACTTGTTTAAGTTTAAGTGTATGTTTTCATCTTAGTATAAGATTTTTTAAGCACTTCTTAAAATTGTGGTGAATTTGAAAAATAATACATTTGCAAATTGTGTTTTTTGTTTTGTTTTTAAATTCATTAGGTAAATTTGACATTTTGAATGGAAATTAAGCTCGGAGATTTTACTTGTGATTGATGGATTTTACTTATTAATTTAAAGAGTATCTTTTCATCTCAATATACATGTATAAGGTTATTTTTTTCAAGCACTTCAGACACTGGTTAATTTAAAGAACAATAAATTTTCAAAATGTGTTTCATTTATTTCTTAACGTTAGGTAATACACCACTAAATGATTTCTCGCGATATTTTTATTTTTTATTTTCTTGACAGATTGTTGAAACGAATATACACAGTGAAAATAAGAATGCTACGGTGTGAAAGTCATTTTTTAAGATGATGAATTTAATAGAAAAATATATTTAAAAAAACGTATACAATTTTTACACAATTTTACACAACATGTGGTAATTATTCTAGGAAATGGATATGGATGAGTGCGGAATGGACGCCGGTTACGATCCAGATGAGGACGAATGCGAGCAACATGAGGCTCCAACGGGGGAACTTACAGAAAGTCAAAAAGAGCGTAAGCATTTTTTCTGAATGTTGTACCTGATTAAAATATATTATTTTTATTCTATGGAAAAAAGTAAATATATATAAGTAATTTAAATCTCCCCTTTTGGTATCGCATAATAAATAATTGTTTTCATTTCCATGTGACACAATGATTGTTATACTCGTAAAACATTCAGTGACAATTTTGTGACAGAATTAAATGTTGACACACGAACATCCTGTCAACGTAGTTGGCCTGTGCTCAAATTAATTAATTAATCATTATATTTTGAAATCTTTTTATTATGTCACATGTTACGAACACAGTATGACTTTTATTTTCAGATAATTTTTATGAATGAATGCAAAACAAAACAAAATAAATATTTAAAAACTCGGTTAAAACAGGCATGTAAGTTTGACTAATAAGAGGCCAAACACTTTCATGATTAAATAACGCCCCCATCCCTTCTCCCTGCCCCCATGTCTTTCCCCAGTCCCTCTTGATAGAACCCTGCTATTTTATGTTAACAATGACTTCATAATTAATTTGAGGAAAAATGATGTTGGACATGTTAATTCCTATAATATTGTAATTTAATTGCTTCCGAGGGTCGGCTCTTTTTTTTCCAGATTTTATAAAGTCTTAGCCACTTACGCCGAAATCCCGCGAGTCTATAGTGAGACATAAAATTAGTGTGGAATGTCAGTTTTCAATTCATAACAAGCTACTTATAGGGATTAAATAGGACGAATTGTGTAAAATGTGTAAGGCCATTTTACGGTATGAATCGGTTAGCACAAACAGTATTATATGAAAACATGTTTATTGTAAAATATTATTCCCAAGTGATCAAATATCAATGGATAAGATATCTGAACATTTCTATTTTTATTATTTTTTTAATTCCTTTTATTTCTTATTTTCATTTCAGACATTAAAGATTTATATGAAAATTTTGATATAGACAAGTCCGGTACATTATCATTAAAAGAGCTGAGAAAAGCACTACAGATTCTTGGTTTGAACCCCACAGTCAAAGATGTGAAAGACATTATGAAGAAAAATGACGTTGGGCCAAATTCTAAGGGAAAAAGTAAATGCATTTATATTTTTTGCATCAGTATTTACACTTTACAATCGTTACAGAAGAGTGTCTTGCCAAAAGGCATCATGTTACATAGTTATAAGTTGTCTTTTTTTATTTTTGTAATACTTTAAAGGCGTACACCACAGTTACATTAAGACATATTACAGATTGAAAACTGCATAATAAAATCTAATGATATATAGATCACCACAGAGACATTTTAAGCAAATAAAAGCTAATGGCCACCAACCTCGCGGAGGACAATGTTATTATTATGGACATATCGGTTGTTGAAGCAGCATGACTACATACTTATACTAGTTTTCATGAAAATTTAAAATGTATTTAAAAGTAAAATATTGTTAAGGGAACAAAAAAGTAATTTATACATTGCAAAGGGCACTTACAATCCATGTAAGATACCAAAAAGGAGGTCAAAATATGCAAAAGAAGCCCTTTCCAGCTTTAGTAAAGCATTAGGATTATGATGATAAATACTGCAAAACAGTCATCAATCGCACATAACATGTAAATAATTACTGGAATTTTGAATCTTTTTTCATTTTCTTAAAATCTGTGTACATTTTTCTAAAGTTTGGTTTTCTTGAAATATTTTGACTCATCTGGCTGTATGCAACTTTAATATCAATTTCAAGCATTTCATATATAAACATGTTATTATCATATATTTAGAGAAGGTCACATATGAAGTATTTGAACAGATCATGAAGGAGGAACTATTGAAACATACTTCCACAGAGTTTGATCTTTTGGAAGCATTTAGGTACTGCCAATATTTTAATACACATAGGTTTCATTCTCAAGCAAATTGATCACAAAACATTAAAAAGATCTTATGTACTCAAATCACGCTAAAATGACATTTTTATAGTCCCATAAAAATTCAATATTTTTTTGGTTTTAAATCGTAAATATATCTATATATGTTAAAAAAAGAAATTTAGACGCCGACAGAATCACCGAGTAGTTTTAAAACAAGTAATGTGACTTGAACAAACCCTGGAAGTTACAATATATTGTATGATTGAAACAATTCTAAGCCATTCCTTTGACATATTCATAAACGTTTTCAGAGTTCACTGTGACAACTATTGTGAAATCTTAACGCTCTAACCTGACCCACGTGGGTCAAATTAGGAAACTTCATAAGGAGAAAAGTTTGTTCCTGTTCGGAAGAAGTCCGTCTGTTATCCGTTGGTCTTCCTGTAAAATTATCAGAAAAGGACTGCAGGAAAGGACTGAAATAACAAAAATAATTTTCATTGATCATTTTAGAATTGCAAACTGAAACCACGATGAATCTCATTGGTCATTCTTAAATAAAATGTAAAGGACAGTTCTACCTTTTCTGAAATAAAATGTAAAGGATAGTTCTTACCATTCTAAAATAAAATTTCAAGGATAGCTCTAAAAATGTAAGGGATAGCTTTTGCCACTATTAAACAAAATGTTAAGGAAAGTTCTAGAATAAAATGTACAAGAATGAGGATAGTTCTTTAACTTTTTGGTTAATTTGTAAATGATTCTACAAATATTTCAGACTTTTTGATCGTGATAAAAATGGTACATTAGACAGAGAGGAGCTAAAGAGATGTTTAACTTCCCTCGGTGAATGTCTAACGGACGAAGACGTGGACGAAGTCTTCAATCAACTTGATACTGACGGAAGTGGAACTTTGAGTATAGTTGGTAAATATCGGATTTTTGTTTTGTAAATGAAATGTATTTACATGTACAATGCTTGAACAACTTCTGAAGTTACATTTTCTTTCCTGTCATACTGTATTATTTGATAATGAATGAATACTACTAACTGAAATTGAATTATGAAAACATTTACAAAATAATTATTTTAGATTACAATATATTGAAGCCGTACTTATGAAAAGAACTTATAATTTTATCTTCATGTGATATACTGTAGTAACTTTTTTATTCTAAAGCACTTTCTTAAGGTGCCTTGTTTCTTGTCCATTCAGGCCATTTTTTTTTACGTAAATAGTCCGTTTGTACGTCTTAGATAATTTATAAAATTTCAGGGCCAAGAAAACAAAACTTAAGAGATGAAATTCGGAGTCTCTTGGATTTGTGGAAATTGTTCATTAGAGATGATGAACAATGCCACATCTCTCTCGCCCCCTAGCACCGACTTACTCTCATCTCCCCTAGCACCTGCTAACACCCACGCCCCTAGCTCCGACTTACTCTCAAGCCCCTAGCACCGACTTACTCTCACGCTCCCAAGCACCGACTTACTCTCACGCTCCTAAGCACCTACTTATTATCACGCCCCTAGCACCGACTTACTCTCACGCCACTAGCAGCACCAACTTACTCTAACACCCCAGAGCACCGACATACTATCACGCCCTCTAGCACCGAATTAAGAAGCGTTCAATCTTTAACACTAATAGTATTGGAATCAATTATCCTTTGGGACGGGACAAAGTACCAAGATGAAGTACGGGAGTGGGCAACTTTCAACATTTTATTAAAAGATGTAGGCTTCGGGAACCATTACATGGAAATCTTTTATGCGTTACTTTGTTTACTAACTCGACAACGTCCCCTTTGACTATGTATTCATCTCAGCTTCCTGTTTTATCTTTTTTATTTTACAGAGGTGTCACAACTACTGGCATGAAGTGCTCGGACAAGTTGTTGCGACGGACAAAATGGCTATTACCCTCTAACACTTGCAGAAACTCATTTCTCATTTTCTTCCATGGATGTGTTGTTATTCTCATGCGCTATGTAAACATTTTGACGTAACAAACGTTCTTGAAAATGACAAAATTGGAACAACAGTTATCTGTTATCATGTGCATTTCTTTAATGTTAATAAATTTATCATTATTATTACATTTACATGTTACATACGTGTTGTGTTGCTTATCAAACCCTATTCAAATACAGTATACTTATCATCTGAAGAAAATATTTTTGCCGTTTAATTTTATGATATGATTTAAAGATAGACTTATAGATATATCTGTCTGCAGATCCGTGCAGGCGAACTTAACTCTTTATTTCTTTTCGAAAACACTTGAGGTGACATTAAACAGTTCCAAATATAAAATATAGAAATCATTTAACCGAATCAACAGGGTATACACCAAAGCGGTGCGGTAAGATCAATAGTTAATAGTTTCCTATGCCTAATGAACTTTGTATTTCTGAGCTCTTCTTTATTAGGGAGAATATCTTGTTATAATTTGTATTGTATTTCAATACTAAAATGTAAGACTAATCCCCAACTGTCTGAAATATAAGGATTTAGTGCCATTCATTCACAGGCCCGTTACTATCAAAGATAATTATATTTAAATTCCTTTTAAAGGCCATTACTGGAATTATGATTGTTGAAGAATGAATAATGCATTATAGCGTTAGTTACGTATTCGTCTCAACGTAATGCATCTAAAGAATTTGCGATCTCTACACAAAAATGTGTTTCTAACACACTTTGCGTTGGAAATGTTGATCTTTTCAAATTTGAGTTTTTTTACCCCCGAAAATGCTTTTGTTAATTCTTAAATAATTACAGGTTTCTCTTGTACTATCTTCAAATATCAGAACATTCAACTACATGTATGTAATTATGAGTTTTCACTTCGATTAGTTCAAGTCGAACACTTTGAACTATTTGCACCCCACAACTGTGGATTCGAATCATGCCAGGGACTATGATTCTTGCCTATAAGGAAGTTATACAGCTTGGTTACAGAAGGTTCTATTTAGGTGCCCAGTTGTGTCTGGAAAAGGCTTGCAGGTGCAGTTCTGCGTCTTAATTCCTCAACCAGTATTAGCCGGGAACTGGTCATTTCACATTTACAGTGTCGGTGTGCCTTTGAACCCACCAACAAAACATAAAGTGTGTGTATTTCAGTATATTTATACTCGCCACCAATTGTCCATATGGGCAATTCCTCCACTTCTTTAAATTCTCATCCGAGAGACTGCCGAGACTGTTCTGTAGTTTTAGATGGACAGCCCGGTAATCAAACCCACATGATCGAGATTACAAGACTCGCGCTTTAAACGATTGAGCTATGCAGGCTGGCATAAATACAATACATTTCAAAAATATAAGGGCAGATTGGGAACAATAAAAAAACAAGCGCGATTTTCCTGAAATGGTAAAGTTTAAGTATTTTTTTGCTTAAAATTGTGAAAGAAGAAGCGATATCAACATAATTTGTGAACAACAATTCACAACCCAGTTTTGGTCAACACAAAATGCTTACTTGACATTTTTCAACATTGAATATTTTAATAACTTTTTCATAACTTGGACACTTTTGGGTACGAGGTGAAGCTACTAAATAAATTTTGAAATTTTGTTTATATACTGTTTTCGGAAGTATTCATTCATTTTTTTAATTATTGCGAAAATGGCGTTTCTTTCGGTTTTGAAGCTGGTATTGTGGAATTTTGAAGGGACATTATTCGAATTGTAAAGGCGCGCGTGTGTGTTCTAAGCTCAATAAGGGTCCGCACGCCTGTTTCAGAGTACGTAAATGAGCGTTATATAAACCCTATGTAGCAGTATTCAATGTGGCGAATAAAGAGAGATAATCCAGGAAACTATCACACCCGCAGGTACATGATTTATTTCCCTTTTAAAGGGGAAAAAGCTATATAAAAAGTAAGAGTTGTATCATCGAATGTCTTTATATACTGCGAATTCACTTAAATTCGTGGGCATGAAATTTCGTGGTTTGATCAAAAAGGGAATTTTCGTGGGTTCTTAAATTCGTGGATTTTCGTTTTCTTGTTAAAAAAAATTCAGAAACCTAATGCAAAATAATCTTAAACTTAATCGCCGAACATTTTTACTTACAACGTGTATATATCTTTACTTGTCACACAGCGCTTGTCAATAAATTTAATCCTTGCCTCTGGGCATAACTAATATAGCACAGTTACTGCCGATAATGGACTGCAATTAACGCAATGTATGTGACATGATATGCACCTCCATTGGACACACTGCCCCTGTATCTATTTAACACACATGAATATTATATGTTAACGGAATAAAATGTCCCTGAACAAAATATTATGCTGCTTTTAGCAATGCACTACACTATTTTATGTGTCTGATCGAGGAATTATACAAACACAGGTACAATGTATATTGAAACTTTCCCTTTTCAAACTACAGGCTCCAGATTGTTCAAAACATTGGCAAGTGATAAACAAAGGATCCACTGGCTAAAAAATGACTGTCCGATAAATTCTGTTGCTAACGGATAAAATTATCCAGTGTGTTAAACTTTAATTAGTCAATGATCATCGGATAATGCCCTTAGTTGTTAGCAGTAAAAATCATCAAAACCATATTTGATACTAGAAAGAAATAAACATACATTAATTTTGTAAGAAAAATTTTGAATCAAAAATGATTTTTCTGTCATAATGATGATGACCTAGCTAATCGCCTGGAAGAATCGCGCATGCTTATTGCAACTTATCAATATACTATTTATACATCAAGGATTATTTCCCTTGATCTATGTCCCAAATTAATCGGGATAAAGATATGTGTGTTTTTCAAATTCATCATTGTGCTTGGATTTAATACAATTCGACAATACTGAGCGACATTAGAGATGTATGTCCTAGTTTTTAAAACGTTCTATCTTTAGTTACGTTCTTGCGGAACGTGATATGGGTTTTTGAGCAATTCCTATATGACGTTGCTTTGACCAGAAGCAAAAATTTCTCAAAGCGAGATCATATTTGAGCCGCGTCACGACAAAACCAACATAGTGCGTTTGCGACCAGCATGGATCCAGACCAGCCTGCGCATCCGCGCAGTCTGATCAGGATCCATGCTGTTCGCTATCAGTTTCTGTACTTGTTGGTAAGCGAACAGCATGGATCCTGACCAGACTGCGCGGATGCGTAGACTGGTCTGGACCCATTCTGGTCGCAAACCCATTATGTTGGTTTTGTCATGACGCAGCTCATTTAAAGGAATGCATTTTGGTGTGATAATGGTATAAATTTACCAAAAATACACACTTTAAATAGCCGATGATTCAAAGACACGTGCAAGGTTTATCTTACCTCTTGTTAGGTGGCGCGATAGCTCAATTGGTTAAACCACTGATTATCACTCCTGAGGTCCCGGGTTCGATCCTAGGTTACACCCTTGGGATTTTTCAGAGACACTTTCAGTGTTTCACAACTACCTAGAGGTGTACTGGTAAGAAATCCAGGTAATCCTCGCATGTATCAGTGCTATACACTGGGCATGTAAAGGAACCAAGGGGTCTATTCAATAAGAGCTAGATTCCCTTATATCTCATAGCTGCCTCTTTAATGTATACAATGTATACCTGCTTAGAGTGATCGTAAACGATCTAAAAGCAGTATAATGTAGAAGTAAAAGTAAGAAATTAGCCATTTCTAGTTGGTAATTAGGGAAATCATTTTATATTTTGGTCAGGGTTTCTAAATCTTAAAAAGCTAAAAATCATTGTCATTAAATACTTCAAAAATGTTTCTTGTTAATATGAAAAGGAAGAATAAAATATTATATCGTTGATGAGTTTTTAAGATGTGAATTACCTGTAACTTTAAATTAAAAATTATAGTTACTTACTATTAACACGGATTTATATTACATAATATAAATCCGTGCTATTAATAAGAAAATAAATACAGAATTGAACCGGGTAAAAACGGGAGGTAATCCTGTTACAAGGTTTCAAGGTTTATTTGAATACGTCAGGGCCCATATGGGCATGTGACAACATAAAACAGTACATACATACAAAATAATACAAAATGGCAAATAATATGTAAAAACAAAATACTACAAAATGACAAATTATAAATGGTCATACAACTCCATGATGTAATAAAATTACTGTAATAATTGACTGATAATGGAGGATGAGAGAGAAAAATCAAAAATCATTGCGAGAAAAAAAAAACAAAGAGAAAATACATAATCTAATAAGCTAACATTATTTAAATAATAACATAATATTTTTGCAAAATATGGCAAGTTTCAAAAGGATATCTTTATTACTATGGTTCATTAATTTTTCAAATTTTAAAGCACTTGGACGTTCATAGAAATATTTATCAAGATACAGCTTTCTTGTATTGACTAAATGTGAACATTCAAAAAGATAATGGAATTCGTCGCCTAAAGAGTTACTGGTACATAGGTTACAAGTTCTAAGTTCTCTTGGAATATCATCAAACCTTCCTTTTTCAATAGGAAGTTTGTGATTCATACTTCTAAATTTAAAGAGAATTAAAGCTAAATTCATAGGTAACTTGCTGAGGTATGGCTCAAAACAAAAATCCTGTTTATAAATCCTGTAATTTAGACATTTACTGGAATTATTAATTGTACTTCTCCAATTTTGCATAAAATGATCACGCAATCTTAAGTTGACAGTATTCTTGAATGAAGCAGGAGATTCCACATTTTGATTTATCCAAAAATGCGACAATCCAAGATCATTTAAATTATTTCGAACAAAACAGACCCAATCTGATTTAATATTATTCAGAGTATATAAATTATGAGTTGTTCTATATAGAATGCTGACTATCTTATCATGTTCAGAATTAACTATTTTACCCCAGTAATTGAGAACTCTACTTTTAATTTGTGTTGAAAGTGGGGTAATACCCAACTCCCCATAAATCATAGCATTTGGAGTACTCTGTTTCAACTGTAGAATTATCTTTAGGTATTTTAATTGAAATTTATCCACAACACTCACATCTTCAACACCCCAAACTTCACACCCATACAACAAAATGGGTGCTATCATTGTATCAAACAAGTGTAATTGCATATCTATTGGTAAATTAAGTATCCTAGATTTCCTAATTACAGAAAACATGGCTTTACGGGCTTGATCAATAAGGAATGTTTTAGTTCTGCTGAATTTACCATTAAATGAAAATTGGACACCTAAATATGAGAAATGCTCAACAATTTCCTGGACAGTCCCCTCATAGTGAAAGTTAGGCATATTACGCAAACCTCTCTTGGTTTTCCAAAATATAACAAGAAAAGCATTGATGCAAAGCATCAAAGGGCGACGCCAAAAGAATTTGATCCAGATTTGCACCTAAATACTTAACAAAAGATGTGTACTTTATAGCAGTACCATTACATGTGACCTGGAGGCTAGGGCCAGGTTAAGTTGAAACTTAAACCAAAAAAGAATAGACTCTGTCTTGCCAAGATGCAAAGGCAATTTATAGTCAATTAAGCAATCTTATAAGACTCATGTTATAAGAAAGAATTTCTTCAGATTTAATTTATGAGACACAAGGATTCCTGAGTCATCAGCATATAATCACTGGCACGAGTATCGGACCTGGGAAGAAAAAATATGACCAGATGACCAGATTGATAAAAAAAAACTGTGTTTATAAAAACCAAAACAAAAAATGTAAATAATGATCCCCTTTAAAAATATACTTTCAACTTGAAGTATATTTTTAAAGGGGGTCATTATTTACATTTTATTTTGGTTGTTGACACTTTTAAGATGAACACAGGTTCTTTTATCAATCTGGCCATATTTTTTCATCCAAGGTCTGATACTCGTGCCTGTGCATTATAATAAAAGCTTATTGCTTAGGGTTGAAGACATGTAATTGACATATATTAGACATAAAAAGAGGACCTAAAATGAACATCAGGGGGACAGCATAGGTACTCAGAGCAGTAGTAGAATAAGTACCAGCCACATCAACCAGCTACTATCAGAGATAAGACTTAAACCATGTAAGAATGTCATTATATATGGCAGATGCTTGAAGTTTCATGAAGAAGAAGAAAAACAACTTCTTCATGTGCAGGATAGTGTGTTCAACTGTATCAAATGCCCTTTGTAGATCTAAAAGTATCATGCAATACTGCCTTTGTCCATTTCAAATAATGCAATCTGTTAAATGAATCAAACATGTGTCAATTGAAAAACCACTTCTAAACCCTGACTGAAACTGCCTGACCATGACTCGAACCCATGACTTTCAGAAGACCAACTGAGCTATCCGGCCTGCTACACATTTTCTCTTTAATAATGAAACAGTTCTAAACCACAACATATTTCCCCACTATATCGATTTGTGTTCGTGAATTTCTTATGTTACAGAGCATAGGAAATTGAACTCATGCTTATATGCAGTCATAGGATGAGAAAAACTTTGAGCTTGACCAGAACTCATTAACCTGTGACCAACATAAGAAGAAATTTTATGAAGGCTGATTTGTATTTTGCATCAAGGGCACCGGGCAAAAACATGAAAATGCAACAAACAAACCACTTTGTGGTAGATTGTATTTTCATGTTTTCATCTGGCGCCCAGTTACTTTTTGTACTATGTTGGTTTTCATGTGGCACAAATCACAATATAAGTCTCAACATATCAATATACTACTGTCTAAGATATACATGTATGCACATAACATTAATAATTCCCAGTTTATATTAAATAAATATGAAATCCTAACATTAACATTAACATGCTTTTGATGACCTTACAACTGGTGAATTATATACAACAAAAATAGTATTATAAGTAATACCTAAGATAGACAGAAAAGAACAAATAATTTAGTAAACATAAGTTACTTCCCCTTAAAATAAAGAAAACCTGAAACCCAAAAGAACACGATAAACAGCAAAATTATGAAATGTTGCAGGTTCAATTTTATCAAGCCATGCAAATTAATGGTAAAGTATTCATAAAAAAATAGATGGCCATGTGTCAGCAGTAATTGCAGAAAATCGGATAGCTTTCAACATCCGGATACTGGTACACTTTGTAAAAACAACCATTCTGCGCAACAGATAAATGTAAAGGTAGCACTCCACACTAAATTTCAAGTTTCTGTCGTCAATGTCCTACAAGCAATATGTCTGATAAATCTGATCCCAAACTAAACAACCTGGAAAAAGAAAACACATTTTGTTAAGAACATATATGTCATACCATTGCAAATCTGTAATGAAATCATCCCATGTGCAACAGTCAGACAGTTAAAAAAAATCCAATTCATTCCGTAAAAGCCAAAAATCTATAGTGGTCCGAGACCCAAAACAACATTTTTCGTACCTCCGGCAAAAAATACCTGCAAATATACGGTCTACAAAAACTCAGTCACTGCTTTAGCAACTCCCTGTGCATGCAAAATATCACAAAGAAATAGGTGCTTGGCCTTGTAGATTTTTTGCTATTGCTGAAAGTTTGTACCCCCTGTAAAATTACTTTTTTTCACCGAGCATGCTGTTTAAAAGCAATGTTTACAAACAATGGCGACCTTGACATCAATAATTATCAGCATGTGATTTCTAACCATGTTTTCGAATTTGCCAATGCTCATATTACATGTCACAAAAACAAATTTCATGCTGAAAATGCATTTTAAAGACAACCAGTCATTTAAATCCACAATAGTCACTATATCCATGAAATCCTCCCTGGCCATTCGAAGCTGCGGCTTCATTTAGTGTGGTGTGCTGCCTTAATAAGGATAAAATCAATAGGATAATCGTTTACAACAGTTTCATTACCTATCCTTATACTCAATTGCAGGTGAACTTTCTTCTTGTAGGAAAATTTTGAAAATGTATAAATGATACGGCCTCAATCTAGACCACAACGATATTCGAAATCCGGGTTTTAGTATTGTCATTAAAACTAAGGGACAAGCTGTTAAACTTAACCTGCAATTTCGTGAAAATAATATCACAATGCACATGCTTTTTACATAAAGTTATTAAATACAAATATAACAACACATTTGTTTACTTGATTTTTACGAATCAAAATAAAACTAATTTACACAACATGAAATTAACTGCTAATAATAACAGCTCCTTCCATAGGCAAAAATAAAAAGCGTTCCATAAAAGACGACGCCGCTCACCGGCGTCGCCAATAACTTTGGTTTTACACATGTACTATGTATACGTCATGAATTACTTCCCTTGATCAATGTCCGAAATATTTGACCTTTATCATAGATTTAACACTGTACACAGGTTTGGTTAAACTGACAAAATAATACCAAATTCAACGGAATAAGATATGTGGATATTTCAAATTCACCATTGTGTTTGGATTAAATAAAGTTCTACCATACTGAGCAACCTAGAGCTGTATGTCCTAGATTTTAACACGTTCTATCTTTAGTTACGTAATGCAGTGGGAAACTATAAAGTAGATTCTACAGAAACGTACACGGATTTATTCGATTTAATTATAAGGCCTGATTATTTTCTAGTTTCGCTTTAATTATTAATAATAAACTGCTGATAAACATGGGCGGTACAGGGGGAAAGATAAACAAAGATGAGAATGGCATCGATCCGAAAAGTTTTGAAGAAAATGGATTAGTACAACCTATATTTGAAAATGGACGTTTCAAAAATCCGTTCGATACGTTCGAAGAAAGGACATTGACAGATGTTTTTAAGATGATCAGGTCTGAGGACAACAGTAAAATACCATGGAAAAATAAAGAGGTAAATTGATTTTTTATTTATAATGGGGTGTTAATTATAAAGGGAAGTAACTCTTTAGGTTATGATTAATAACTATCCAAAACCATTCGCGGGGAAATACAATCTTGTGCATAACTTTATCCACGGGTATTCGGCTCATTTGTCTTGTCTACAGTATAATGAGAAGATGATCGTAAAAATTATCTCCCATAGATCATCAAAAATAAAAAAAATAATACTTGATCTAGCTGATCTACCTAGCGCCCGTTTACTGTAGTAATAAAGGATGTAATAATATATATATATTTTTCATTCATTTTAGTAAATTTTAGAACACTTTGAAACAAAATTCACAAAATGTTCTTAATACAGGAACTTGACAGAACATTACCAGTTGTAACACCAGATTTTGAGAAGTTGAGGAACCCTCCAAACGGCAACGTTCAGCTAATGTGGGCCGGACACGCCTCTATACTGGTACAGTTTGATGGACTGACTGTACTCACTGACCCAATATGGGGAGACAGGTGCGGGCCGCTTGGAATTATGGGTCCGAAGAGATATCGCCCGCCCCCGTGCAAGATTGAGGATATCCCACACGTGGATGCAGTTGTTATCAGCCATAATCATTACGACCATCTTAATCACGAATCGGTGGTCAAACTGAACCGGAAGTTTGGCGACAAGCTACATTGGTTTGTCGCTATAGGTCAAGCCGACTGGATGAGGCAGTGTGGGTGTAAAAATGTAGTGGAGCTAACATGGTGGCAAGAACACACTCTTGCCAAAGATGGTAAACAGTACATGTTTGCTGCAACCCCAGCACAGCATTGGTGCAAGCGAACAATATCGGATACAAACAAGGTATATTATATATTGGTTATAAAGATTTTTGACAGATTATATGACCCAATATAACCCTCCAAACGAAATTGAGAAATCAAATTGAAATTCAAAAAATTAATAAATCATAATAATAAATTACATGAACCCTGTTTAATCATAATCGCATGATGCATTATGTCCGATAAATATTATTATAGGCAAAACATCAAGTATGAACCACGATGTTTGTCTACGCAAAGTTCCAATTAATAGCCTTGTGTTGTGTTGTTTTGTAATGCAATGAAATGAAATGATATGCTATGAAATGTTTGTTTGTTTGATTAGGTTTTACGTCACACCAACACAGTATATTATAGGTCATATGGGGACATTCCAGCTTTACTGATGGAGGAAGACCTCAGGTGCCATTAAGTGCTTTCAGGCACAAACAGTCACCTGAATAAAACCGCCGACGTTCCGTAAGCTAGCTAGATAGCTTCCTTACATGATAGAATCCAAAGTCCCAGTCGAGATTCGAACCCACATTGGTGAGGGGGCAAGTGGTTTGAAGTCAACGACTTTAACCCCTCGGCCAAGGACGCCATGTCTTATATCATATCGTGTCATGTCATTATATTTTTATTATATTGCCCATGTTTCAGGCACTATGGTGTAGCTGGGTTGTTAAAGGTCCAAAACACAGTTTTTACTTTGCTGGAGACACAGGTTACTGTTGTGCTTTTAAACAGATTGGGAACAAATATGGTCCATTCTCATTGTCAGCCATACCTATAGGAGCGTATGAGCCAAGGTGATAGTATTTTGTTTTTTCTGTATGATTGTACTATGTAATAATACTTGTTACCTTACCATATTTAACCATTAATATAGTTCTTACAGCTTTGTGTCGCCAGTTACAGTGAAGAGCCGTATTGATATATGGTTAAAATTGTAAGATTTGAACATTTGTAACACCTGGGGGCTAAAGGAAACATTTTAAGGTTAGATCCAGGCATGCTGGCAGACAGAAACAGTACTGACTTAACTTGATACTCTTAGTGGTTAAGTTAGGTCCCTGTTCGTAAGTTAAAGTAGAAATTACTTGAAATTAAGTTTGATTGTCCGTTTTACGGCCATTTAGATTCATTTTGGTCATATGCCGGAAATTGCCCCATTTTACCAGTTTTCCTGGATAACTTTAAGCAGTAATAACCTTTTTTTTCCTCAAGTGACATTCCTGCATGATTTCAGGATCAGCGGCGGGAAACAAAAATCATTGGATTCAATGTCCCAGATCAGTTGCCAAGATAAAGACTAATATTGTCACTGATAATAAATGAAAGTATAAACAATAAGACCTTTTCTGATATATACAGATGGTTCATGAGACCACAGCACGTGAATCCGGAGGAGGCCGTCATTATGCACGAGGAATTAAAGTCAGAGAAATCTGTAGGGATACATTGGGGGACATTCAGACTGACAACAGAGGTATGGTGTGATATTGACGGATATTCTTTTGTACATAATTTGTGTGTTTTTGAGTTTATTTATACTCACCACCGGTTGCCCATATGGGCTATTCCTCCAGAAGAGTATTAGCTATGTGGGCCAGATTGTTTATATAGGTAATGTTTGCTCATGGACTGTCACATGTGGTCTTTTTTCCACCAATGAAAATGAAGTAGCCATATGAACGTATGTGACTTCAGATGATATCAAACTTAGCAAATCTGATGATGGTAAAATTATATAGTTTACAGTTTATAAAATGTCATAATGTGACAAAATATTTACTTAATTCCGATAGTTCTTTAACTTTTTGAATCTACATATAGAAGAAGTGTAATTTCAGCAAGCTTTTTTATGTACACCAGAAATAAAGCCAAAGTCAAGTCAATTAAAAAAAAACAATTATTTTTCACTCAGTCACTTTTAAAACATGACTGCTTAATACGCTTATCAATAAATTGCAGTACGAAAACCGTTTCCATTGTAACTTTTTCTTTCTTATATTTCAGCATTACATGGAGCCTAAACAGAAGCTAAGTGATATAGTGAAAGAGAAAGGTTTAGATTCAGGATGTTTCTTCACAGTGAAGCACGGAGAAGTTGTGACGTTGACAGACGAACATGTGACATCTTGATGAACATTTAGTGTTAGGAGTTTCCATTTATTTTAATGTCTACATTTAAAGCGGCCTTCAGCTGCTATTTTTTGTTGCAAAAACAATTCTGTGTTGTTTCAAACTAAGTATTTCAGTAGTTTTAGTAGTTTTATCTTGGAATCATATCACTGTTTAGCTTCAAAACAGGGTCCCGAGAACTATTTATAACGCATCGGCGACGTTCGTTTCTAAAACAACGAGTCGTCCTATTTGTTTTTATTTGTATTTTATTGTCGGCAAATTTTCATTTTCCATCTAAATTCTTTTCATTTTCCACCTAAATTCTTTTGGATTTGACAAATTTATGAAACGATTTGTCTAAAAAACAACTTGCCCCTTACCGCTGTAGGTTCGAATTCCTAATGTGAGGAAGCTATCTTGCTAGCTTACGTAACGTCGGTGGTTCTACTCAGGTTTGCGTCCGTGCCTGAAATAATGCTCGGAAGGGCAACTGAGGTCTTCATTCACCAGTAAAGCTGGAATGTCGCCATATGACATATACTGTGTCGGTGTGACGTAAAACCCAATCAAGCAAACAAACAAAATCTAAAAATAACATATTTAACCTTCGGTAAAAAGCTGAAGGCTCCTTTAAGATACAATATTAGTACGACAAACAGACATGTGACATAATAAACAAAATAAGCAAAACCATTACTTTTGGTAAATAAGGAATTTTTACGGAGAGCTGTGACAACAAAATCAACATGACATATATACAAAACTAATACAGTATGGTTTGATATGAAAAATGTTTCATGTTTTAGTTTCGATACATGTTATTTATTCACTGTTTTGGTTACGATGCATGTTATTTATTCACTGTTTTGATTTTAATGCACGTTATTTATTCATCACTGTTTTGGTTTAGATGCATGTTATTTATTCACTCAGGGAAACAACGTGAATTTGTTATTTTGACAGAAAAATATGTGCCTAAATATCTTAAAGTTCCATAAAGCCTGAAAAACGTTATATTTTTAATTTTCAAAAACTTTGTATTTTTGGTGCACTATTCGATCATTGACCCTCGTTTTGCCTTTTGGCAGTTGAACAGTCATAATGATTTGTTACTCGTTGTGGAAGTCAAAATGCCTCTTTGTTTACATTTTACTTCCTTTATCATAAATTATTTCACATTCAGAGCTATTTTTCAAGTCATAAGTATCTTACATAATTATATTGTTCTAAATCAATTATGACAACATTATAAAACACGCGTTTGCTCTTTCTATAGATACAAAAATATGAGACTTCATGTGCCTTTAATGTATTTTTTGTCTAGGTAATTTATTCAGGTCACGATGACATAAATATAAATCAACTTGTATACAGTGATAAAAAGTCACATAAATGTTTGTACATTAAGAATATTCTATTTATACATTGATATAAAAAGTGTAATTAATATCAAATAAATATATGAGCCGCGTCACGACAAAACCAACATTATGGGTTTGAGACCAGCATGGATCCAGACCAGACTGCGCATCCGCGCAGTCTGATCAGGATCCATGCTGTTCGCTATCAGTTTCTCTACTTGCTATAAGGTTTGTAAGCGAATGTAAGCGGATGCGCAGGCTGGTCTGGATTCATGATGGTGGCAAACCCATTATGTTGGTTTTGTCGTGACGCGGCTCATATGGTCTTTCAAATCAGCTTGAAATGAATAATTTGTTAATGAAACATTTTAACATCATTTCTTGTTTGTTTTGAGTACATATATTTCAGTATGTCTAAAGATAATGTTTTGAAATACAATTACTATTTGTGCATATCGAGGGCTTTGTGCGGCATGGCTTTAACTCATATGACATAAAGATGGAGTTACAATATTTTTGCACCAAGCCGACGAATTATTATACATGTATATCAACATGTTTATTTCTGATACCAACGACAATGCAATGTTTTGTTTTGATATTTAATCTTAAAGGGACTTAACTCATGTACTACTGGAAATATTTTTTCGAGATTTATGAACCATTTGGCGTAGGTTTGACCATTCGTTCACTCCGATTGTCCTAAATGTACAAAAAACGACAAAAAATAAAGAAAATAAAAAAAACGACAAGTAAAACAACAACCTTTAAACGCCTTTGACTCAAATCGCACTAAGAATAGCACAAAAAAATACGATTTTCAACTGAAATCTGCATGTACTTTTGGATATCTTTCCGTTTTAAATTTCCGATTTGATCTATGAAAGAATTTTATGCTCAATGGAATGCCTTTTATTTTACAAGTTTATATTTTGATATCAGAACAGAACTTGTGTAAAATGCTTGGTTATAGTCAATAATGTTTTGTTTTTATTGTGACAATCATGTTTGTACTTGCAGTATCATTACAATTTGCATTTACCATATTATGTTTACATTTTTATATCAGATCAAGTGTTAATGTTATTTTTTGTAATAAACAATCTTAATACAATCATATAAAATTTGATCTGTATATAAGTAGACAAGTATCCTTTGTAAGCACATGGGATATGTAACATCTTGTCTCCTAGAATCTTGATGAGAGTGGGTTCCCGTTTTTGACTTTGAACCAGTCCATATTACAAGATTAATATACTAAGGCCAGTCTGGATTGTTGTACGAGTTGGCCTAGATCTATACTCGTGACCTAGGCTTATTATGTTCGGTGGCCCTCAGTGGGCTAAGAAAATCACCTGTGTACTATAGAATTTTAAATTGTCTAAAATTTTAGGGGAACTTAACATCTTAATGTTGTAGGTGATGGTAGTGTTCGTAGATTGGTTATATTTTATCATGGTCGTCATGGTGATGATGATGATGATAGTACTAGTGGTGGATTCTTTCTCGTGAAGAAGCTATCCACCTAGCTTACGGAATGTCGGTGGTTCTACTCAGGTGCCCGTTCGTGCCTGACATTATGCACGGAAGGGCACCTTAGGTCTTCCTCCACCAGTAAATCTGGAAATGTAGCCATATGACTTATACTGTGTCGATGTGACGTTATTTAAACCCAAACAAAATATGATAATGATGACGATGATGATGATAATGTGGTAATGATGGCCGTTGTTATTATGATGATAATGATAATAATGATCTTTATGACGATATTGATGAAGATCATGGTGATGGCAGTGGTGGTGTAATATATTCAGATGTTTATTTTACATATTTAATCAGTGACAAATATAGCTCAACATAGCTGTATTTCGTATCCGATTCGATTATTATAACGCACATGTCCGTCCTTTGATAATACGTATCATTGATAGGACTGTATAAAAACGCTTCAATATTTTTTTTGATGGCTGAAGCTTTATTACATCAGTAATATGCACGCAGACAGATTATTATAAAATCAAAAAGTAAGTTGTCGAAAGAAGTGGAAAATGGAACAATTCATGAGTTTTCTTTTTGTTTGTTTGTTCATTTGTTTTGGAAGCGCGATCAGTCCGCGATCGAGATACGTTACAGAGAACATACTACGCATGTCAGCTCCCGACCTGCCTCATACGGCGGGCAAGATAAACTTTCACCGCATGTTCCTTCTACTAAATAAAGCCGGTTGTCGTCATCATTCTTGTCCCCATTTATCACCTTTTCCGGACGCCTATCAAGGCATACATATTCAGTAGCACCGCTGTCGCTGTAAGGCCCGGACACGAGATAGCCTTCATATTCCGTCGTCCAGCCGTCGTAACACTTATTCCTTCCCGGGAGCATCACCGCCACGCGTCTTTTCGTGTAGCACACAGCACACGGGGCATTGTGGTTGAACATGTTATCTCCGAAGTATTCTGCAGCACCGGTCTCCCGATGGTGCCAAAACTGATACTCTACGCCAGTGATTGTTCCTTGACTCTTTAACCCCGAATAGTGATCCCACGTCGGTCTGTCGGATAAACAGATGTAATTAGAGCCCGTACCGGTATGAGAGTTGCTCGATCCAGCCATAAAACCTAGAAATAGATAAATATAGCTTATGGTTTAAAAGTCTCATGGGGTTTAAAGGGCCATAACGTCTCAGTTATGCTTTTAATATTATTACTCAAAAGCATTTTTATTTTGGGGTTCCTAAATGTTTCTCATTGGCCAAGTACCAGAAACATCTTTTTCTACTTTTGCTTTTGTCAGTTACTAAAGTAAAAGTAATTTAAGTATTTTGTATGGAAGACAAAATACTACTTTATTTACTTTTTGCTGCATTTATGACAAATACTTTCACATCCTTCAGGTGATAAGTATCAAATTTCTAAAATCATGTTTTACACTAGTATTCTAACATTAAAAACCCATGCTTGCCCTTTCCTAAGATGGAAAAATATACATTCATTTCTAAAGCATAATGAGCCTTTAAGATTATAAATTACATGTCTGTGTATTTAGATTATTTATTAAGTTCATTATGGGCAATATGGTTATAAATAAAGTTTGTCGATTTTTAATTATCAGGTTCACAGGCATAAAAGATATACAATAAGTCAATAGTATTGATTTTATAATAAGCTAACTATAATTAATTGATTAATTAATTAGGCATTAGAATTATTCATTAGACACACAGGGCGGGGGTGTCATTAAGCTTATCAGTAAGTTCACGTTAATTAAGGTTTCTGGTCATGAACTTACAGGGGTTATTACTCAAGCCCATGGACACTGCAATGATGACTTTAGATGATGACCTTACACATTATTTATAGAGTTTAAAGACACTATAAAAGGTTCATGACGTCACAAACAAGAAACGATTTGCCAGTGTTGCCGATGTAAATTTAAGAAAAAAATATTTTAGCTACGATAATGATATGAAAATAACATTAAAAAGTCCATGCACGACACTTCTATTCAATTATATAGGAATACCATACAATTAGTGATAAATTCAAGCAGACGAAATTACCCAGAGAGAATAGTACAGAGGTTAGATGTACATGCCATTTCTATATATGCAATAACGGAGGGCTTTATACAAATAAGTAAGGACGAAAAATAGGGAAAAAACAAACCAATAACCCCCGGACAAATGTAAATTTGACCCTATAGCATGACTTGACCTACAGAAATAACTTACCGGTATATACTTGGGTTGTTCCGTTGTCAGGACAACTCCTGCGGCCCCATCTCGTATACAGGTCACCCCCGGCAACTGTAAGAGGTTTAAAATCTTTTAATAGCTTGTATTTAAATAAACCAACATACTACGAGCTCAGGTTTAAGACCTCATAAGCAGACGACCAAATGGCGTAAGTTTCATTGGAGAACTAAGAAAAAACATTGCATTTATAGGCTTCCATTCTGATCGAAAATTACAAATATTTTTTAGGAAACATTATTTAGTTATGCAGTTCCATAAAAGATGTATTAAGATATAAGCAATACCAATAAAACGTGATTAGATCGGAGAACTTATTTTCATAAATCAACGCTTTTACCATTTTCTTTCACGTTGAAATGTTTTTATTTTATTAATTTTTGTATCTATCTCTTTTTAAACATTAACTTTAGTTTTGTTCAGTCTTTCCTATATTTTAAGTTACTTAAACGTGAATGCACATTCCTGTTATTTTTATGTATTAAAATAACAATAAACAATAAAAAAAAAACATTAAAGGATGTCTTAAAAAAAAGGATTTACCTTTCTGCTCATCTCTGTGTTCGTTTATTTCATTTTGTAGCCTTTCAATCTCACTCGTAGCTGTGAACACTTCGTTCCTCAACAAAATCAGCTCTTCAGATATCCTGTAATCCATGTCTTGCCTTAGAGTACACAGTTGTTCAGATTCAGTGAAAACAGGCTGAGCTGAGAGAAATATGAAGAAAATCTTCACTAAAAGAGTAATATGTTTCATTTTTCTCCCGTTTTTGATTTATCACTTCAGAAAGTTAGTTTGTACGGAAGTCTTGGTAAAGTCTAACTGAAGATAGACGAAACAAATATTTTATTATGTAATTCTTTTGTTTTAAGATGATGTTTTTATTTGTAGAGGCCGCTTTGTTGATATTTTTCCTCCTTGTTTTCTTTTTCCTTACCAGGTATCTAATCTTTTGTCGCATCTAGTTTCATGTTTTTGTGTGACTTGTTTCTTAATGACAATAATGTTTAAGGTGATACATGTATCAAAAGCTGAATTTGGCGAACTGATTTTAATTTCGTTCCGTTTTATTTTTTCGGCCAACTTTCCGTTTTATTCATTTAATCTTGTCATTTTTCGTGTCAGAAGATGCTCTAGGTCAATTGGACTCTTACATTGTTTAGTAGATAATGCGTCAGTGCAAAGAGGTTATTTTTTCTGTCGAATCTAGTTTTTTGTCGGATTTTTAATAAAATACATAGAGGTAAGCATATGAATTAATCAGTATGAAACTATCCCGGTTATTTATCGGGCATCCTTCGTACCAGAAAGACTCGACCAAGTCAAATGTTCCATTAATAAGTCAAATTTGAGGCTTAATTCTGGATTCCTCAATCCTTGATGAATTATATAATGTCTTCAACTTTAAACATCAACACTATCAAAGTCAAATGAGACCCAAAATATAATATGTTAGCCGTCTCTTTTAAATTGTCCTTTTTACTGTTGGCGCATAGTACATCTTTGATTCATCCGTACATTCAGAAATGAGGTCCTGAGAAAACACACAAATCAACTTTTATAGTCATCATATAACACACACACAAAACTACACAGATGCAGTAGATACACTAACATAATTATGACCAGTAAAACTAGGGATGACTTAAATTGGGACTCTTCAAAATGCGAAAGAACTATTTTCTAGAACGGGTTTGGTCAAAATTCCGTATTGGGATGATACCAGAAATTAACTTGTCCGAATGTACCGAATTATTCGGTGGGCATAAATTGGATGCATTACTTGTACTCAGATAATGTTTAATATATTGATATGAAACAATAGTATTTAGACGAAACTAATTCATTTAAGGAAGTTATTTTTGTTTTGTTTTGAGATGATTGATTGATATCATGCAATTGTCTTTTCAATATAGTCAAAGATGCACGCCGATGATACGACGAGGTTACATAAGGAATGTAAAACATATGTAAATAATATTCGGAACACCTCATCTGTTATCCTTGAAAGAATTTACCGAGATATGCCGGAAACTGCCGAGCGGTATTACTGTTGTAGTTATGTATTAATTTCATTTTTAAAGGGGCTCCATCCTATGCGTACAGGTAGTCAACACGTGCGCACGCAGGTATCAAGTTCTACGCGGGACAGAAACTTTAACACATTCCCACTTATATAATGCTTGCACATTCGCACGTGATAAATAAAATATTATCGACGCCCTTTAAATGCACTGTATATATAATTGTCAACAATATGCCAGAAAAAATGTGTTTTGTTGTGAAGATTAAAACAATTAGGTTTGCGAGGCCAGAGAAATGTCATTTACTGATGACATTAAAGAACCTGATTTCCTTGGGAAGTTTGTATTTTAGTCCATGTACTTGTAAATGTAAATGTTAAGTTCTATATGGCAAATCTGGTGCTCAAATGAATAATTATCAATAGATAGTTAGTCAGAAGTTATGAAAAAGATAAAAACAAACAGCCTATGTAAATATAACGAGGTACATTTGTTATTAAACATATATTTTTGATAATGTCTTGGCCGCTTTTTTCAATAAAAATATAATGTAGAGAATAGACACATGAGTTAAAACACATGAAAGCGTATTTCATGGCACTAAATTTCATGTGAAAATCACAAAATCGATAAAAATGTCGATATAAAAATCGATATAAAGACCCTTTTATTGTATGACTTTTAATATATATAATGTACATAAAAAAGTGTAGATCAAATACTTGGCTGTTTAGAAATTGTTTTGGGTGAAAACCTACTATATACGTGTATAAAATGTCAGTTCGCTGTTACATCCATAATTTTACAAACAGGGTCTTTAAAGAAACTTCACTGAGGTCCAAAAACATAAAAATGAAATTTAAATTTCTAACATAGATCGGCTGAGCCTGGAAGTTATGTAAAATTGACTTTGAAATAATTGAAAATCACATTTTTGTTGTACTCTTAGACCTATTAGAGTGAAAAGCGTTGCAACGCTTTTTAATTTTGTGTTATGTTTCACAATCTTGAAAATCGGAATTAGCAAATGATCTGTAATATTGCACACACGTTATTATAGATCTGCATCAAAAGGAACATTTATTTCGAAAAATTATTTCAACTCTCGTCATGTAAAACAAATAACCCCCGGTGGAGTCGCTTTAATACATGTATCTGTTTTCCTGTAATATTAACGCATTATGAGTTTGGACATTTTTTTCGTAACTGCCACGTTAACAATTTTTGAAGAAAAATCTGAGGAGAGTTTTGCTTGAATATCATTGTGGATATTTAGACTTCTTCCTGGTCATGTATTCTGCAAAAAAAGTCATGGATTCAAATAGGCTGCAGAGATTTTATATTATACCGGTATTTGGTATTGAATATGATAAATGTATCAGAAATGTGTTTTAATTTTGTGTTTCTTTTTTGTGTTTTTGTGCGTTTTTTTGTTGCTTCTTTGTTAACATGTTCACTCCGTATATGAAATCTTATCCGAAGCTTTTATGCAACCAAATATGTATTATATTATTCTTCATCTGAAGTTTCATAATGAGGGAACATTATGTGTCACAGGACACAGACATAGTACACCGTGCACCTGTTGCTAAAAACTTTCAACATTCAAGATTGAAGTAAATATTACACGAATAAACCGGTTTTCTGTCATAATTTATAAGCTACATTTATGCACAGTCATTAATATCGTTATTGCAATAGTGTCAACTTTTTGTTTATGATAAAATTATGCAATTTTGAATAAGCAAATCCATTTGTTTAAAAGTAATTTTGTTTTATTCACTAAAAAAGTATGTAAAGCGTTTCTTTGCTAAGAAACGATCATTTACTTTTCCTGATTGTCTCAGTTCTTTTTTTTTCTTTGCGACAAATGGTGTCATTTTCGTGCTTATGTGTTATTCTTCCTTTCGCCAACAGCCTGGTATAATTATGCCGAAAAACACGACACATATAATATTTTACCTTTCTTGGTCTTTTAATGGCGAGCAAAATTTAAAGATCGAAAAAACACGGAAGATTGAAAACTTTGATTGAAAGATTGAAAAGATTGAAATTGAAAGATTGACAGAGTGACCGTTAATTATTCCCTGCGGTCTGGAGACCGCAGGGTATTAGTACGCGTTTAACTTTTGAGGCATGGAGGAGCACGTGACCTGTTTTCGGTACATGGAGGAGCACGTGATCTGTAAACCGTATATGATTGGTTAATTGACCTTTTCTAAAACCCAGCTTAATACAGGTCAGACACTCACATTGATATTTCCATATACTTACATTATAAGAAATGGTCCCTTATCCTACCTTAAAATTCAGTTTTCATGCTAAACAGGTATTTTTTCTAGCAGAATGAAATGCCTGACACATAAAAATGTTTCTGTTATATAGGGGTAGCCGACCAAATTTTTTGCAAATTGACTTCAAAGAGGATTACCCCCCATTTCATTGAAATTTTCTGCTGATCACAGGACTGACATACACTTTTTATAAATGCAAATATCCAAGTCAAAATTATCACAGAGACTCATGAAATATTTCATTTTCTTCAGAAAACATTGTAGTGTTACTTTTTAAATTAGTTTTTATACTTAAAAACACCCCACTTTCATCCAATCGCCTCATGTATAAACTGAATCATACGGTTTTCCCTGCACTTTTTTTCAGCCAATCACTGGCCGTGTTACAATACGATACCCTGACCTACAGTTTACCGGTACGTTACGGATTTACCTCTAGGGAATGTAGTCCGCATTACACCTAATTAAGAACAAAAAACTATTACGTGATATTTCTAATTTTCTATAATTATTTTACCGTTTAAGGTGGAAAAACTTGAATGATGTGTTTGAAAATTATCAATGATTCTTTAATATCTATCTCACATTTTTACAAACAATAAATTGTTTATACTGAAAATCTACAAGATTCATTTACGCATAGTGACATCTGCCATAATAAATAGAGATATTTTCTGCGTAAACTTGTGTGTTTACTTTTTTTGCTCGGAACTATTCATAAAATGGTAGGCCTATTTAATAATTTACTTCAAAAGAAATAATTGTTTTATGTACGACCTCCGGTCTTCAACGGTCACCAGTTTCTAAAGACCTTCTTCTATATTGATCGTTTATTGTCAACTATATTCCTGATACAAACGTTTATTTATCCCCCAAACAATGTTGAAAATAGTTGAAGGAAATATCTTTATATCATTAAAAATGTTCCCCGCAGGAAACCATTTTACTTGTGTCTTCTTATTGACAATGGATTTAAGACAAGCTACAGAGCGACATGCCGACAACGTGTTGCAGAATGACGAATGGGCGATTACATTAAGGCGATAATGATATTTGTTGTGTTGTTGTTGTTGTTAGCAACAACACAACGAATATCATTATCGCTTTTTCGTTTTGTCGCTGCGAAACGCGCCATTCTGCGGCGCGTTGTCGCCCTGTCGCGTGGCTTTTAGCCAAGGGTAAGCTGTTGCATGGCATTAAAGCTTCAGTAAGCCATTTCTTCCGTTTGAGTCAAGCAACAATAGTCATCGCGCCACTCGCCGTGAGACAACGTGCTGTTTTTCGTGTTTCGCCTGCGACAGGGCGACAAGATGACAAGGCAATAATTTACGGAATGCCGTTAGGGCCATTGTCTATGAATGTGTTGATCTGAAACGCGATAGTCGATAGTACGATGGTGAAAACGCGAAATCACGAAACTACGATGGTGAAAACGCGAAAGCACGATGATGAAAACGCGAAAGTACGATGATGAAAACGCGACAGTACGATACTACGATGATGAAAGCGCGATAAACCATCGTGTGTTCACCATCGTACTGTCGCGTTTTCACCATCGTAGTTTCGTGATTTCGCGTTTTCATCATCGTACTGTCGTGTTTTCACCATCGTACTATCGACTATCGCGTTTTCACCATCGTACTATCGCGTTTTCACCATCGTACTATCGCGTTTTCATCATCGTACTGTCGTGTTTTCATCATCGTACTATCGCGTTTTCACCATCGTACTGTCGTGATTTCATCATCGTACTATCGCGTTTTCAGCATCGTACTATCGCGTTTTCACCATCGTAGTTTCGTGATTTCGTGTTTTCACCATCGTCCTATCGACTATCGCGTTTCAGATTAGCACATTCATAGGCGATGGCCCTAACGGCATTCCGGTACTGAAACGCGATAGTCGATAGTACGATGGTGAAAACACGACAGTACGATGATGAAAACGCGAAAACACGAAACTACGATGGTGAAAACGCGACAGTACGATGGTGAAAACACGATAGTTTATCGCGTTTTCATCATCGTAGTATCGTACTGTCGCGTTTTCATCATCGTGCTATCGTGTTTTCACCATCGTGCTTTCGCGTTTTCACCATCGTAGTTTCGTGATTTCGCGTTTTCACCATCGTACTATCGACCATCGCGTTTTAGATCAACACATTCATAGGCGATGGCCCTAACGGCATTTCGTAGTTTTGGGGTCGGTCCATAAACTCTCTGTACAAAATCTGCTGCACAATAAAACGATGTGCGAAATAGTCCTTATGTTCAGTATTTCCAAGGCTGTACCAGTTATCTTCCATATATAAGAAGGTATACTGGCCTTTGTGATTATATTCCCGCGCATTTGAACTCAAACCGATCATTCAAAATTGATATCTATTTCCTAAGTATAACATTGTGAAATGAACAGTAATCTACACATTGCAAAATCAGTCATTGGTGGCACAAAATATTTACATTATTACTTAAAGCTTGAAACTTTTAGCTTGCCTTAAAATCTCAGAACATTTTTCTCAAGTTTGATTTTCTTGAAATATTTTGACTCATCTGGAGACATGTAGATTTAAGCACGTTTATTTCGACTGATACGTTTTTTTAAATACTATATTCGTGCAAATGTTCACTAGAAACACGCCAAAAACTTATTTCACGACAGAAAACATGGACACAGTTAAATAGTAAAGATAGTAACTTAAATATTCATTAGTAGTGTCAAGTTTGTAAGGTGCGGATTTATTATACGGTTTTATAGGTGAGTGTCTATTTATTGTATACACAATATGAATTTTATTATTAAATAAACATAGCAAATATCCCAAATTTAAGAACTGTTTTGTCAAATATTTGCTTTTAAACTAGCAAACGTTTTACGTTTTTGTTATTGTTTATCGTTATCAATGTAGAGTTCATATAATGATGATGATAATAATAATAATAATACATGTAATAATAATAATGATGATAATAATAATAATAATAATAATAAATAAATAAATAAATAAATAATAAAAATCATAATAAAAATTATTAAAATATTAATATTTAAAGTATTGAAATAATGCTGCTGCATTAGAGTCTCTGATGCTGCTGCTGCTTCTTATAATTGTGATGATGATGATGATGATGATGATGATGATGATGATGATGATTATGATAATGATGAAGAAGAAGAAGAATAAGATGATGATGATGGTGATGGACAATTAAAAACGTGTTGAATAAAAGAAGGGTTAAAGATATACTATGCTCAAATTGATTGCTGGTCATAATATGAATATAAAGCGTCATTAAAAAAACCCTGGCAGTTTTTAAAGAAGTATCAACTTTGCCTGACCAGTAATAGGGAACGCAGCTTCCCATACATAGTTTATCTATTCTGTTTTTTTTTTTGTTTTTTTTTTCAAATAAGACATATTTAGTAAAGTTCGGCTAAAATATTTTACTCTAGGATGTGTATAGAATATCTTTAATGTTTTTTTTACAAAAAAAATGTGTTCATTGCAATGATTTCGTACTATCATTGATGCAAGGTTTTATGTACACTTGTATGTACACTTGTATGTACAATTATTCTGCATGCACACTCGTGTGTGCATACGTATGGCATGCATGCATGTGTTAGCAAGACAGTAATTCGGCATTTTAACACCGCAAATTGTACGTACATACCGCAAAATATTAAGCATATTTCTTTCATGACGGGACAAAAAAAATTACACCCAGATGTTAATATATAATTTCTTTAACTGAAAATGTATGAAAATTGATCGAACTAGTTAAACGTATCGTTTATATTGGTAACAGTATAGAAGGGGGGAAATCAACGATTTAGAGAGTACATATGAACTACATGTGAAACAAGTAAGTCGCATGTTTGAGGTTGGTGTAACTTCACGTGAGGTATATATATTTGTTGGTACATTAATATTGTCAGAACATATTAATCAGCTGCCAGCTGCCAACATTGCATAGTGCTCATAAATACGTCACTTCATATACATAGTAGTACATTTTATAACTTTAGATGATTTAAAGATCAAGCTCGACATATTAAACCAAATTATCACTGTTCATATGAACATTGTTTGAATTCAGTTACAAATGCCATGAATATGAAACTCATTAAACATCTTACAATATCAAATGCAACAGACAGCCTTCTATATCAAATGCAACAAACAACTTGCTGTTTTTAATGCAAAAAAGAACTTACTGCATTTAAAAAAACCCAAATAACTTACTGTATTTAATGCAACAAACAATTTACTGTATTTAGTGCAACAAACATCTTACTGTATTCAAAGCAACCAACAAATTATAATATTATATGCAACAAACGATTTACTGTTTTTAATGCCACAAACAACTTGCTGTATTAAATGCAACAAACAACTTACTGTTTTAAATACAACAAACAAGTAATTCATTTAACAAATCATAAGACTGTAGGCCAAAGTATTCTTCACAAACTTTTAATGGTCATGGCTATGCATATGGTGGCCAAGATCTTAAATCGTCCACAGCGGTTAATTTAAAGTCATGTGTTATCTCAACACCTTATCTAAGATCAGTAGGACTAATTGTTCTCTTGTTATTGGAAGCGGTTAAGGTCACAGAGACCCTGAACTTTGACCTGATAAAATCAAAAGACATCATTTGAAAGTTAAAACATAAATTTCTACACCAAATATTACACTTGTCGTCAAAAATGGTCTCTAGTAGCGATTGGTCGGACTTCAAGTGGTCAATACCAAAATCTTTTTATGTATACATTTACAACTGTTGTATTATTGAAAATGAAGAAAGACTTTTTGGGAGATGTAAAAAGCTTCTTTTTTGTGATTTTGAGACTGGGATTAAAAATGAGAAAAATGAGATTTTTTTAATAATCAGCTATGTACGAACTGTTATTTTATTGTAGGAAAAAACGCAGAAAGAACATAAAATGCATTGTCAGACAAAAGTGATGATAGATTATGTATTTTTAGAATGATAGGCAAAACATTTATTTCATCGTAGTAAAAAATGTTACATATTTGATTTCATTCCAAATAATTTTTCTTGTTTGATATTAAATGTAAAAGACATTGTCTAGGCAATGTCCATGCACGTAAAATAATTTTAATATGTTACAGATGTATGTTTACTAGTTTTTTTGTTGTTGTTGTTTTTGTTTGCCATATTTTATCCTGATATTGCCGCCATTTACTTAGTCTCTCGAGAGTCGGACATACCAACAACATAAACATATGAGCCGCGTCACGACAAAACAAACATAGTGGGTTTGCGACCAGCATGGATCCGCGCAGTCTGGTCAGGATCCATGCTGTTCGCTTACGAACCGTATAACAAATAGAGACACTAAAAGCGAACAGCATGGATCCTGATCAGACTGCGCGGATGCACAGACTGGTCTTGATCCATGCTGGTCGCAAACCCATTATTTTTGTTTTGTCATGACACGGCTCGTATATAATTCTGTTCTGGTTCGTTTTCACGTATGATACTAAATACTTACTAACATAATGGATATAAATATATTATGATATATTACAGACCTTCTATTATAAAACAATTCACTTTAATTGCAATAGTCAGTATAACACATTATTGTCGACCAGCGTAATATACTTTACCGAGTTATCAATCGTTCACTTGTTTTTCGCTTAAAATGTTTCAAATTTCATATGCAAACATATGCAAAGTGTAAATAAATTATATATATAGTTTTTTTATGTAATTTGTCTGTATGTAACGTTACACATGCCTAAAATCGTTTTAAAGAAGATTCTTCAGCAGACATTATTGTTGTGTTTGTGGTATTTTTAGCTGTTCTAGTTGGGTGGTTCAAATATTTTTTGATTTAATTATATTTTATTGCTTGAAACATGTACATGTAACATAGAGATTACATTAATACTAAACAGAATACAATAAATACGAATAAGGAAACATGTATGTTAACAGTTTGAAGCAAATGGGTTGGGCCACAAGTTTTACCAACATTAATGAAGGCCCTTCCCAGGCAAGTTTAAATAACAAAATGTTCATTATAAAGATACAAAACTTGTTTACGTAATTAATGTGTTAGGCGAAGAAACAAGAAAATATATGTTTTTTGCGCATCATCAGAGTAATATTTACAGTTGCTTCTATATATATCTATATTGATATAAAAGTATTTAGATGACAATATTTTGAAAAAAAAAACAACAACAAAAAAAAAATTGATATGAGGTTTAAATATCATGAAATAGAAAAAAAAACACACATTCTAAAAACATCCAAACTTCTGTTCACCTTTCCTCTGAAAAAAAAACAGGTTTCGCCTCCATTTCCGTTACTGGACCAGCATTAAAAATAGAAACACGGAGTTATATTTAATTATCATTAAGATATATTAAGTTCTAAAACGATTCGTATTCTTTAAATATTTTTGAACATGCCCAAAAATAATGTCATTATCTTCAGGCGACAAGTTATCAATTCCAAACAGCAGTTTCTTTACACTTAAAGGATGGTATGGGCGGGTATTAATGAATTATTGATGGCGCTGTTGATGAAATAACGGACATTTGAAAAAATAGTGTTCTGCATCCTCTATGGTATATCCACAGTCACATTTTTGATTATCACGTAAGTGGTTGTAAAATAAGTCGGAGTTTAGGTTACTACATTTATTACGTATTCTTGCATGATGGACCTGTGAAAATCTTTCACCAGAAATAAAGAATGGGGGAACTATTGGGGGTTTAAATTTTTCTTTTAGATTACGTTTAAAAGCTGATAATGAGTCTACAGTACGAGATTGAGTGTCCAAATTGTTCCAAAGTTTGATAGATGAAGGTATTGTAGATTTAGCATAGATTTCAAGCCGGCGTGCCATAGTAGCATAGTCAGAATTGTTTCTCAAATTGTATGTATTTGCTTCTAAAACGGTATTTGGAAAAAGTTCAGACAGATAACAGGGTAATTCTCCACGGCTATATTTATATACCAAAATTAATTTCTGCATGTTTCTTCTGTCTGATAATGAAACCCACCCTATTTCTTTTAGTAAACGTTCTATTGATACAGATCTTGTTAAGCCAGTTACAATTCGTGCAGCGTCATACTGAATTTTGTCTAAAAGATCTTTTTCATAAACTGTGCAGCTATCCCAAACAATAGATGCATATTTAATAAATGGTCTAAGATAAGATATATATATTTGATTCAAAGTTTTCCGTTTAAGCTTAAACTTTAACATTCGCATAGATCCTAAAACTTTTGTGGCGGAAGATGCTTTATTTGTAATATGGTCATGCCATGAACCATCTTTACTAAATGTAATACCCAAGTGTTTATGGTTGTCAACAAACGTTAAGCGTGTATTATCAAAGAAAAGTGAAAGTACGTTCACGTTTTGTCTATTAAGAGAGAGAAATAATACTTCTGTTTTAGTCGGATTAAATTTAACAAGCCATTGTTTTGCCCATTTTGATAATATATTTAGGTCGTCATTTAATGTTGATTCGATATGGTTAATATTATTAGAACTAACTGATAATGAACTGTCGTCGGCAAATAAACGTGTTACACTAGACAGAGAATCTGCAATATCGTTCACGTAAATAAGAAAAAGTAGAGGTCCAAGTACTGAGCCCTGTGGCACGCCGGCATTAATGGTTCTTTCCTCAGAAAAGGTAGATCCAACGAATACTTTTTGTTTTCGACTTATTAAGTAACTGTACATCCATTTAAGAATATTGTCTGTAATTCCATATTGTTTTAATTTGAAAATCAAACCCTTATGCCATACACGATCAAAGGCTTTACTAATATCACAAAAAAAACGATGCAAGTCGATTTCTTGTCATCCAACGCTTTGCAAATTTGATTGTAAATGTCAATTAATTGATACACTGTAGAATGTCCAGGTAGGAAACCTGACTGATTTTTATAGATTAGATTATTTTCATGAAAATAGTCATAGACATACTTAAACATAATTCGTTCCATAACTTTACCTATACAACTAATAAGTGAAACTGGTCGATAATTTGACGGCATTGAGCTATCACCCTTTTTAAATAAGGGCATAACATTTGCAGTTTTCCAGCTATCTGGGTACATATTAAGATTGACAGACATGTTGAATAATATTTTTAGGGGTTCACAAATAGTAAAACGAGTCTCCTTTAACATACGATGGCTTATTTCATCAGATCCACTTGCCTTATTAATAATAAGATTTGAAAGAACGTCAATAATATCTTGATTGGTAATGCTGAAACTATCGAGCTGTTTATTCGTCTTATATACTAGCGGTGGTAAAGAGGTATTAGAGTCATCAATAGTTGAAATAGATACGAAATAATCATTAAGTGTATCGGCCTTGTCTTTATCAGAAAAGGCTAGGGAATTATCATCTTTTATTAATGGGGGCATACATTTACAATTTGGGGAATTTTCTTTGACTAATAATTTAACCAGTTTCCAATATTGACGCGGATTCGTTGAACTACAATCACTCAAAGTAAATTCGATATTATTAAAGAACTCTTCTTTAGCATGCTTTATCATGTTATTAACCTTATTTCTTAAAGTTTTATATCCGACCCAGTCTTCGTATTTTCTGGTAGAAATAGCTTTTCGTTTTTGTTTATTTCGTCTTTTAGTGGTTTTCCTAATTTCAGAATTGTACCAAGGTTTATCTTTTGGACGGATAGTTGCCATAGTGGTAGGAATACACGTTTTTGCCAAATTTAAAAACTTATCTGTAAATTGTTTTGTTGCAGTATTAATATCAGTGAGTGTCAGAAATGACCAGTCAGTGTTTTGAATCTTTTCATTAAGTTGTTCGAAATTTGCTCTTTTATAGTTCCAGACTCGTCTTTTAAAAGGATCATTAATTTGATTTCTTGTTCTAATATAGGCAAATGTTCCAAAATGGTCACTGATTAACTTGTCTGTATTATAAACACCCGAGAATAAACATTCTAAAGAAGACGACATTCCAATAGGATCTAATAGAAATATTCCTACTTGAATAATGTCAAACAGAATTACCCTTAGGATACATTGGATATTATATATGTCCTTGTCCAATATAAGAAAATATTTATTAAAGGCCCATTATGCCCCTAAAAATGCTTCTATTTTTTATGAATTATCTCAAAAGTTTATTTTTTAGTTTTGGCGTACTTTTGTAGTTTCCAAAGAGCTATTCATTGGCCAAGTACTTGAAACAGCTCTTTCTTTTGTTCCGTTTTGAATGAAAGTCAAAATACTACTTTGTTTACATTTTGCTACTTACATGACAAATCATTTCACATTTAGCGTTACTTTCTTCAGGTAACAAGCATCTAACATGCTCTAAAACCATTATATAAACGTAATGAACTTATGTTTGCTCTTTTTAAAGATGTGAAACTTACTCGTTTTTTTAAGGCATGATGTGCCTTTAAAAACATTTTTTTTAAGTAACGCAAAACCGATTAAACACGATATAAACCTTTATGATAACTTATAACAAGTACAATATGGCATGTCAGGTTAAACAGTCTATTTAAGTTCATTTGAATATAATGAATAAAAATGACCCAGATTTTTTAATATAATATCACAAAATATTCATAATGATGACGTTTTAGTGATAGGATCTATTTTCGAATTTTAGTTGAGTCATTTGTAAAATTTTTACTTGGGGAAAATACGAAAGACAAACAATGTTTCAAGTTTCGGAATATTATTATATTGGTTTCGAGTGATACGTACGAAGAATATTAAGTATATCCGAATGGCGCGTTAGCTTTGGCGATTTAAAGGCCCATTATGTTTCAGAAATGCTTTAAGTTTTATTTCTCAAAAACTTATATTTTTGGTGTCTTGTAATAGTTTCCAAAATGTTTCTTTATTGGCCAAGTACCTGAAATATCTTTTTCTACTTTTACTTTTGTCAATAAGCTATAGTGATAAGTGGAAGTCAAAATATTACTTTGTTTGCATTTTACTACATTTATGACGTCAAATTCTTTCACATTCAGCGATGCTGTTTTCAGGTGAGAAGTATCAAACATTCTCTAAAACCATTATTTTTTCATTTAAAACCTGATGCTTGCCCTTTCTAAAGATGGAAAAAAATATTAATTTCTTAGGCATAATGTGCCTTTAATAAAGAATGTTGTTGATTTTTGATACGCATTTAACGAAAATCATTTCAACAGAATCAGGTGGCTATTGTACTCAAGTTCAAGTTTCAAATTCAAGTTCAAGCGGATATTAAAATGGATTCGTCAACATTTTTGTTTTTCAATATTTTAATTTTAATATCGTTTAAGTAATCTGAAGCTTTTCAATGTCATAATATTAATGAAAATTGCTCATTTTGCCCTACGCAGATTGCACATGCGCGGAAAATATAATTTCCGGTCGATTTTTCTTGGCAAAGGACCGTGTCGTGAAAAGGTCTATATATCAAATACCAGTGGTTAACGCGTCAAACTAGTTATCTAAGGATTGCACGCGGCGTTGGTTCAAACCACGCCACAGGAGCAAACCGTTTTTTCCTTAAACCAGAAACTTTACAAACATGGCTTAGTACTGGTAGGTACAATTCACAGATTCGAGGGTATTTCAATAAGCTTATAGCTTCTGATACTATATAACGAACTAAAATTCATTAGTATAAACTACATACCAAAAGTTATTTGGGATGAAATCTTAACCTGAAACAAGCAACAGGTTCTACCCTTGCAACCAGTGCAACATTAAAATCAGCCTGCACATCCATGCCGATGTTCAGTCAGCACAGTTTGAAAATTTCCCTAGAAGACGAGTAGTTTTATCCAGATTGTATGATGGACATGTCCTTTTTTATATTAAGGGCGGCAAGGGTTTTCTTGGTCTTGTTTTCTTGATAATGCAAAATATTATGTAACCCTTTCCTAGTTTTGCAAAATATTATTATTTATAACGATTTTTGGCAGGTTATATGGCCATATATAAACAGTAGCGTTAAGGTGAGGGTTATATTTCAAACAACCGTTTATATACGGCCATATAACAAATTCATAATACAAGACATTTTATAAAACCTTTTAATTAAAGGAAAATAATTATAAAAAACAGGATTTTTTCCTAAAGTGACGACAGCCGTGTATACTATATAAACGTCACGATTATCCAATGAAAAGTGATATCAAAAAAGACAATGTAAGAAAGAAAAATATAGTTAAGCTAAGCTTATCTAAAATCTTTAATTCGACTTTAGTCGGTCACCTTTACCGTATTCATACTAGTTTATTATCGAAAAGAAATCATAACCAATATTATTCTTATAGTTGTTCAATTTTGTTAAAAGTTTTGTGATTCCAAAACACAATTCTAATTCCAGTAAATTTGAAAAAAAAAAATCTATGTAAAAGACATTGTAGATGACGAAGATGGGAGAGGGACCCCTCGAGATTCGAAATTTACAAATATTAATGGATCGACATTTCACACTAGGTCTGATCCTGTTAAAAAAGAAAACTAATTACAAATTAATTTTTCATACGAATTGTACACTTCGGTCTTACTGACGTCTGAGACCGGTGTGTATACAATGCAGTCATGCCTCTTTGATTTATTTAAGTGGAAAAAAAACACTATAAAAGAGAGATGTTAACATCAGATCGTACTTGGCGGCGATAAAAGGGTAAATTACAAATTAATATTTCATACCCATGCGCCGTTGAACTCTATGTTTAGTTAAGGAAATCAAACTTTTTCAGATAAGGTCATACGAAGAGCGTATGTTACAAAGGTTAAAGATAAAAAAGTCCTTTGTGATAGTAGAAAGCGAACTGTATATCAAAAATTTATGAAAGGCAAAGAAGCATATACTTTATCATGACAGAACACTCATTATTTGCGCATATAGTTTTGGATTTGAACAATTCCTTTTAGCTTTGTTTTTGTTGTTGCTTTCTCCAGATGGATTCGACAGAGCTTAAACAATTAAACGGCGATGGTCTGACGGAAATAGATAGTAAAGAATTGTTTCTGAAGAAACAAAATGGTTTTAAGGAGGATGACGGAAGTTCTGATACAGAAGGGGGTGAAACGGGATGGTTGTCATCCGAGAAAGTTGACCTGGAGCAGGACCGCGGTGTGTGGTCAAACAAGATGGAGTTCTTTTTGGCGATTATGGGTTATACAATAGGTATAGGAAGCGTATGGAGGTTTCCAATTATTTGCAGGTACGGTGTTGTTATTTGAGCAGCGTCATGACAAAACCAACATAGTGGGTTTGCGACCAGAATGGATCCAGACAAGCTTGCCCATCCGCGCAGTCTGATCAAGATCCATGCTGTTCGCTTACAAACCCTATTACAAGTAGAGAAACTGATAGCGAACAACATGGATCCTGATCAGACTGCGCGGATGCGCAAGCTTGTCTGGATCCATTCTGGTCGCAAACCCACTATGTTGGTTTTGTCGTGACGCGGCTCAATTTTTATTCTTGTGTCTGGTTATCCTCTTATTGAAAATAAAATTATAGCGCATAATGATCACGTGACTTTTTTGTCACTGCTAAACGCATTACTTTCATGTTGCTATTTGGGCAACACCGATGAACATTTTATTAAAAGGCATTTTTAAACCAACCTACTTGCTGTTGTTATAAGGTAAACTACAGGCTAAAAAAATTGATGGTTTTTGCTTATTCATTTTGCCAAATAGAGGCACATAAAAAATCAACAGACTGGAACCCAGGCATATGTTCATTAAAATGTTTCAGAAATAACAGTATATTTCAGGTTATTATTTTATAATTAATATAATTAATAAAGGTTACATGTTTCGAAAAAAGTATCAAGAACTAATTTGATATGAAATGGTTATAGCTAGCAAATGTGATAAATGTGATTTCCTCCCATTTCCCTCAAATGTTGATAAAGTTAGAAAAAATAATGAAAAAATAAAGCACCCCTATCCCCATTTGGCTACTGTAATACTTTCTATGCGTCTATATATATGATGATTGACGCCAAACCGAAATTGCTTATACTCTATCTTTTTGAGGCGAGCGATCGGTGTAAGGACACTCGAAGAGATCCCCGCGTTTTCACTATTTTTTTGTAAATTATTACCCTTTGCTTTGAATTTTATAAGGGTTTTCCTCAAGGCTTTACATTGTTTTATAGGACAATGTTTAGCTATTAAACACATATAGGTTGTGTATGTTTTTATTTTCTACAGCCGGAACGGAGGAGGTGCCTTTTTAATCCCGTTCTTCTTCTTCCTAATAACATCAGGTGGACCTTTGTACTACTTGGAGGTTTGTCTTGGACAGTTTACAGGGCAAAGTGCCGGACAGGCTTTTGACTGTTGTTCCTTGTTCAAGGGCAAGTATATTTTGTAAAACTGTTTTGTACTCTTATTAAAAAGTCATTGTACAGCACACGTTGTAGACCATTGGTCATGTGCCGAGATGTTGGGTCTGTTCTACAATGGACACATGATCCAAGTAGTTTGATATACAAAATCTCTTGAGATAAAAGGGATGGAAATTATTCTGTTTTAACTCCCCCGTTACTTTTCCGTGTAGTAGAATCATCATTGAGAGACTCCAATAGGTACATGTATTTTGACCACACTTATGCGTGTGTATTTCCCTTTGAACACGTAATACTCTTATAAAAGATACACTAAATTTTAGTAAAAGAATAACCGTCGAAACACGAGACTATCTGATTTTGTAAGTAAACTCTAGAAAAAAGAGCCTATCAATGAGCTTGCTCTATTTTGATGCGGCAATTGGAGTATGAATAAGTAATACATGTACTCCAGTTAACGTACTGTGCATATATGGCTCTGACACATTTTCAATGGTAAGATAATGCGATCTTCTGTAACCAATTACTTTCTTTTGATTACAGGTATAGGTATTTTACAAGTTATGTTGTCATTTACGGTGCTATGGTACGTAATCTGTATTTTAGCCTGGGTTCTATACTTCTTGTACAGTTCTTTCCTTCCCACATTGCCTTGGACTACATGTAATAACTCATGGAACACGGTCAACTGCACAGGTATTGCTTCAAATTGATACATTATTTCGACTGACAAAAAAGGGCTACCATTTATTCTTTTTATTCAAATGTTACATATGCTGAACCGCACGTTTTTTTTAATTTGTTTATTGCATGCATTAATTTATTTACATGCATGTCAAATCGCCTTATAACAGAACTTTGAAAAATAATATCTTAGCACCAACCTTATTTTCAAAATTTACTCAAGTAAATAGAATTCATAGGGTTTTCCCCTTTTTTGTTCTGTAAATAATGGTGGCTGATCTGTGTAATACAAATGTCGAATTTTTTTGGCTCCGCGTGGCGTCAGATGAAAACACGAAAATACGACAAAATGACCACATAGTCGTTCTCGTAGAACATAATCCTAACTAGTATTTGGAGCTGAACGTGTTATGTGTATAAAAGCATGAACGCTTTTGGTAAGAGATGTTTTTTATTTGACGGCATTCCTTGTATATTGGTGTAATTTTTCTAATTTTAGTAATATCGGACTTAGTTTCTGGAAGATCTACAGACTCGTATGCAGTTCATACAAACAGTTCGTCCATTAACGGAACTATTTACACACATGCGGAAGTATACAATATGACTGCCAGTATGTTGTTCGATCCATCTCCACTTTCGCCATCTAATATTACATCAGTGGTGACCATGTCAAGTTCCTCAGCCTACGAATTTTGGGAGTGAGTATATATAACTTTATGTTAAAACTTTTAACTGATACATGTAGCAGGAAGGAATAACATTACCTAGGCCCAAATTATTTCTTTGTTTCGGGCAACCTAGCCAATCAAAAACCACCCATTCCACCCAAGTAAGCCCTACCCGACCCTTAAATTTTTATTGATGGTATTTGGATAAATGTTTTTTGCCGAGATGATTCGCCATAATGATGACAGAATTAAAACAACAACAACAGCATTAACAAAAATCACACACACACGAAAACAACACACAAACACATAGATCGCACCCTAGTCCAGAAATTTAGACATAAACCGCGGATTTAAAGCTTTTTTTTACATTGGAACTTATTTTTTAATCAACATTTACCGATAAACGTGAAACTGTAAAAAAAATACTTAAAGTGTTTAATGAAGGGTTTATCTCAACCCCTTTCATATATCTTACGTGTTTGAGACTGTTGCCGTAACCACATAATTACTATGGTCCCTAATTTGGCAAAATTTTGAAATTTATGAATAAAATGGTGTATTATTTTCAATTAACTTTTTAGTCTGTACTGTATATAGTTTTAAAATATTTCCCGCAATTTTATAGTTTATCGTTTATTGTCTTTTTAATTCTTGAAGCGGTAGTCCTATATCGGCAATGATGATGATATTTTTTCTTTGCAAGTACTTTTCATATAATAAACGTTTGGATCCCAACTGTTTACAATGATAACTATATGACGTATGTGTGTACGCACGCGCGTCTGCGTGTGTGTTTGTGCGCGCGTGCGTGAGTGTGTTAAAAAACAACAATTACATATAATTGATTTATTGGCATGACCGTATTTATACCTACACTATTTAGGTATAATGTAATTGGACGGTCACGTGGTCTTGAGGAAATGGGAAGTTTACAGTTGCATCTTGTGATCGGACTATTCCTTGCTTGGTTATTTTGTGTGGCGGCCGTCATCAAAGGTGTTAAATCTCTTGGAAAGGTAAGTAAAAGCATCGTTTTCAATTTGTCAAGATATGTTATATATACATGTATATATAAAATTTTCACATACTAGTTCGGCCATTTGGCTTCAAACCATTTTCTCCTTACCGCTGTTGGTTCGAATCCCACCAGAGACTTTGGATTTTTTTCATGTGAGGAACTTGTCCAGCTAGCTTAAAAGAACATCTGTGGTTTTACTCAGGGCCTCGTTTGTACCTACCTGAATTAATGCCTGAAATAATGCACGGAGGGGCACCACAGGTCTTCTTCCACCGTTAAAAGTCATCATATGACCTTTACTGTGTTGGTGCGACGCGAAACACAGTATGGAAGCGCACTGGTGACAAAATTAAATAAAACGTCCATACTACTGATTAAAAATGATATTCTATATTTCAGGTCGTTTATGTTACGGCTACGGCTCCTTACGTATTTTTGACGATAATTTTTATAAAGGCTCTAACACTTGATGGAGCTATTGATGGTATCAAAACATTTGTGGAACCTGACTTTTCCAAACTTCTCACAACACAGGTAAACCTATCCATTACTATACACTAACTACAGAATTCAATGAAATTCTGAAGGTTTATATCATTATTTCTAAATACTACATTTATACTGTATTTTTATGCAATTCTAAGCCTTATTTTAGTTTAAAGCATTTAAACACATTGATTTTATCATTTCTTTTTTTCACAATCAATATAAGTATTCTGTTAAAACGGACTGAACAAATTGTGCACACAAAGTATTTGAAAAGGCCGGCTTCAGAAAGTACATATATCTCGAAAAATTATTTCTATTCCCATCATGTCAAAAAAAGCCTCAGTGGAGTCCCTTTAAACTTATTTACTAACGTCAAATGCTTGACTTATTTGAATATTTCTTTGAAGGTATGGTTAGAGGCGGCTCTACAAGTGTTTTATTCATTAGGACCGACTTGGGGCGGAGTAATCACCATGTCAAGTTACAACAAATTCCATCAGAAATCTTTCTGGTAATGCCAAGCTGTATGATTTAAGCTCATTAACTTTCATAAATGAATGTTGCTATTTTTAGAGACATTTAATAGATAAAAAATACTATTGGGATTTGAAAGTGAATTTTTAAGAATGATAATGATGATAAATTCTTACTATGATTATTCTAATAATTAATCCAATTCTTAACACTCAACACTTACTCTAAAAGATAGTCGTTTTTACTTAATGATCCTTCAACCTTTTGATCTTTTTAACATGTTTTTATAATTCGTACGAATCTTGGGCAAAACACACAGTATGAAAGGTATACATAGTATGTCCATTTATACATTCATATAGAATTCTGAATAGAACTATCAACATGTTTATTTCGAAAACTTTTTAATCTTACATGCTTTTCAAATTGTAATGTTTAAAAAAGGCCAAAATAAAACCAAAAAAAAACAAAAACAACAACAACAACTTCCAACAAACTCATAGAGATATCTAGGTATGTTCTACAAGCATGAGTTGGCACCTGAATATAACCACCGTCCGTACCCTCAGCTAACCCTATAGATTCCCGAAATGAAAGAAACCAGTGTCTCTAATGGGATTCGAACCCGATTCTGTTATAGGGCAAGGAGTCTTTAACCATTTGGTCACGGGGGTATGTGTGTAAGTGTTGAAAGGTCATAAATCTCCTTACAGGTCCTCTACCATTTGTGTAGTCTTTGCTGGTTTTACATCCTTTTACAACGGCATGGTTGTATTTGCTTTACTAGGATTTATGGCAAAGTCTTCTGGCATGACAGTCGCTAAAATAGCACAACAATCGGGTATGCTTGCACTTATACAATTCATCAATGTATTCAGGATCTTCAAAATAGAATTCTATTTGAAATGACCAGATGTAACGAGACTATGTGTGGTAAAAAGTAGTGCCAGAAATCAGAAGGAAATGATTACAACTTTGGTATTGGCAACAAAATAAATTAGGATTGCAAAGAATCAAGAAGGAGTAACCATTGAATCGACTAGAGTTGTTTATAAATAACACGCATAAATGACCCATGAAGTCTTTGCAGAAATAAGAATTTATTAACAAATGTAATTTTACATCCAAATTTATATAAAAAAACAATAGTACCATCTTCAAATTAAGATATCCACGGACTTAAAAGTAAGCTTCTTTCAATACATATTTTATCCAGTTATTCTTATGATGTAGAGTTTTATTAAATTGAAAAAGAAGACGAACAAGCCTTATGTAGATATTTTTATGAAGCGCATTTTCTAAAGAATGGATTTTTTATTATGTAAATATATAAGCGGCTAAGTGTCTTGTCTATACATATGATGTTATACGTAATTCTTGCAAAATTAACGTTTGGTTTCAATGTTCAAACCCCGTCAGGGGCAAGTCGTTGTTTCCATGAGCAAGAAACTTTACACCCAATGCTCAGTACTGGTTGGTTCCAGGGACGGACTCGAAAGTGTGTCTATAAGATTATAGCTGCCTTGACAATCGAACTTTAATAAATTCTGTATAAACCAACGTTTAATTTCTTCAACAGGACCCGGCTTGGCGTTTGTTGTGTTTCCAACAGCAATTAGCATGATGCCTGTACCACATCTTTGGTCTGTACTGTTTTTCCTTATGCTGATCACGGTAGTCTTTGACAGCATTGTAAGAATTTACAATAACTTTTTCCATTTATGTCCAATATGTCGCACATATTCTTTTGATATTTTTAGAGATGTAGACTGCTTTCTTTTAAATTCTATAGATGATTTCTTTTCATATGTTATAGATACGTTATAAATTTCTAATATTTACAAAATTCTCGACGATTTCTCACAAGTACGAGATTTTTTTGCAATCGGAACGTCTTCGGCTATTATCTTTATCCAAAGACTGACGGAAATGGCCGAAACGTTTCAATTGGATTTTTTTGGATGAAATGATTCGATTCATCTTTTAAATTACACAAATCTACCTTGAGTTATACATTGCATTCTTTAGACGACCTCCCACTATTTAAGACAAACTTTCTTTTTATATCTGACAAATCTAGCAGACGAACGTGACAATATTTAAGACAAACTTTCTGTTTACATGTAACAATCGAGCAGACGAACGTTCACTGTTATGAGCTAATAAAAAATGCAAAATTATATTTTGATTATGAAAAAATTGAATCACTGTTAATATATCATAAGTGAACATACATATGAGCCGCGTCACGGCAAAACCAACATAGTTCGTTTGCGCATCCGCGCAGTCTGATCAGGATCCATGCTGTTCGCTGTCAGTTTCTCCACTTGTAATAGAGATGGTAAGCGAACAGCATGGATCCTGATCAGACTGCGCGGATGCGCAGACTGGTCTGGATCCATGCTGGTCGCAAACACACTATGTTGGTTTTGTCGTGACGCGGCTCATATATGTTTTAGTTTGGAATGATAGAGACGGTTACCAGTGGCATTATTGACCAATTTCCACGTCAGTTACTGAAGAGGCGCGTTCTTGTTAACATAGTTACAGGATTCTTTTTCTTCCTCACAGGACTTCCGCTCTCAATGAATGTAAGATTTTCTAGTTGTCTCGTAAACAAATATCATTTTGAAGCTTCTTTTCCTTTTTTTATTTATTTTTATTTTTTTGTAGCAGTAAAACTGTTTTATTTACTTAAAAATTAAAACAAAATTTACATAAATCTTTACATAACAAATTTTAAAGTACAAGGGATATTTATTGCATTCCTTTTGATAATTGATCAAGAAAAGTATGTCTTTATGTTATTTGACAGTAAAGTGAGTAGAATGACAGTTGTTTAGGATTTTGCATGACTGAATGCAGTTAATATTAATGTTCACGTGATTCACTTATTTAGGACGTTCATATGCTCTTTATCAAAATAAACTTGACTTCTAAACAGTTTAATTTAACATATAGTTCTATTTTTAGCGTAATTTTTAATTTTCATTTTTTCAGGGCGGAATTTACCTTTTCCAATTAGCCGACTGGTATTTCTCCTCCTTTGCTTTATTAATTGGGTCTCTGTTTGAATGTGTATCAATCTGTTGGATATATGGTAAGCTTTTATATCAGCCGTGCCATGACAAAACCAACATAATGGGTTTGCGACCAGCATGGATCCAGAACAGCCTACATCCGCGCAGTCTGATCAAGATTCATGCTGTTCGCTATCAGTTTCTGTACTTGTTATAGGGTTTGTAAGCGAACAGCATGGATCCTGATCAGACTGCGCGGATGCGCAGGCTGGTCTGGATCCATGCTGGTTGCAAACGCACTATGTTGGTTTTGTCGTGACGTGGCTCATATTGTTTAAATGGATTATTTATTTATGTATCCTTATGTGCAAATAGATTGTTTTTTCTTCATTTAAATTAAAAGATAAGCCCATGGTTTAAAGAGACTCCGCTGAGGTTTTTGAACATGAGGGGACAAGAAATAAATTTTCGAAATTTATGTTCCAATTGATGTATGTCTTGACCAGTAACTTGTGTGCAAAATTTCAGATCATTCGCTCACTTCATTTTTCCAGAATGGCAGTTTGACTATTGTACTTTTGAAAAATGACAAAAAATGAAAATGCGTTGCAATGCCTTTCACTTAAATTTGGCTAAGAATGGCTCAGTATCACGATGTTCAATTTATTTATGAGTTTATTTCTTCATTATCTTTTGCAAATCGGTCTGTTTGAAGTGCCCAAGCTGATCTATGTAAAAATGATATTTGACGTTTTTAGACCTCAGTGGAGTTCCTTTAAGCTGATTGAACCGAAAGTGATTAGCCTTTGCCATTAACATGTGCATCCGTGCAATATACTCGCACAGTGTAAAAACGAAATCATTGTATCATTTTCTGCCAGTCTATACAATTCACTGTGTATGGGGTATTGTAATTACAAGCCCCGTTTTTCGATCACTGTATCATATATTGCGAGCTGACACACTTCAACTTGTATCGTCTTTTGCGATCACAGGAAGTAGACGGTTTCTACACACAGTGAACCGGGCACTAAACAATTGGAAGCTCAGTTTTGTATTTTGTTTTTGAAATCCCTGTGACTTTAAATGGACTGTTCCAAATTCAAAGCAGGGCAAATCCATTAGATAAGAAATAAAATATTAAGTTGAACTGATCTGTTCAACGTCAAAATCTCTTACTTAAAAGAATAACATTTCTAAAGGAAAAGTCAAACTGAAATGTTGTCATATTTAACAGATTTTTTGCCATAACAGTACGCTTGGGATTTTATCTAAATGCACATTGTAAGGAATGAATATTTACTTCTTAATAAAGGGCAAACATGAGTTTTAAAACGTTTAAATAATGGTTTTAGAGCATGTTCGATGCATGTTGCCTGAAAAAATAGCGCTAAATGTAAAATAATATATCATAGATGTAGCAAAACGTAAACAAAATATTATATATTGTATATTGACTTCCGTTCACTAGAAATATACTTATTGCCAAAAAGCATCAGAAGAAGGTAACTGGTAATTGAGTAACTTGTTGGAAACTGTAAAAGAAAACAAAAAAATAAAAGATTTTGAGAAAAAAATGAAAACATTTGTGGGGCATAATGGGCCTTTAATATTACTTTATTGCACGATTGCATATTGTATTGAAATAATACAAAACACTCTTTTTTTCCAGGTACTGACAGGTTTGCCCGGGATATATATTTTATGACGGGGAGAAATGTTTCTGTAGCGCTTCGCGTTTTATGGACCATCATAATTCCTTTATTTATTACGGTAAGAAAGTCCTTTTTAAGCCAGTATTTTATTTGTTGTTTGTGTTGTGATAAATTATATGAAATACATACCAAGGATCAATCTTATTAACTTGAAGTGAGTGTGTTTTGTAGTGTGGCATGTATGCACCTCATCAAGTCAATAAGGCATGAGAGAGCACTGAAATCATGACAATAACAAATGAATGATGATTGACACCCTGGATTTGTGGATTTGTGACGTCACACACACAGCTCTCTTCAGCATTATTGCGCTTTGACAAGGAGCTTTATCCTTTGCGCTTTTACATATAAAGCTCATTTGGGAGCCTGCGCCTATTGCTCCTTGACAAATATTGTGCTCTCCGGGAGCTTTATCAAACATGCGAATCCTTGAGAGCTATGTTCGACGTCAGATATGTTATACATTCCCAAAGAGAGAGCTATATTCAGTGGGAACAATATTTGCCCGAAAGCTAGCTGTATATTTTTAAGCTATGTTTGTCAAGAACAATATTTCCCGGGAGCTTTTTGTCCCGGAGAGATAAATCTGCCGGTGAGCTATATTCGGCGAGAGCTATATTCACCGAAAAGCTAAACTCGGCGGAAGTTATATTCCCGGAGAGTTAAATTCGGTGGAAACCATATACCCCGGAGTCAGTGGGAGCTTTATATGTCGTAACAATGGATATCTCTTAAGATTAACAAAACAGTCATTGTATGTTTTACAACAGTTTCGTCAAGAAATTTGTGGAAGGACGTCAAATTCGAATTGATCGGCTTATGGCATCTATAGAGGGCACTTAATTACCCGCATGATACTCCATTTGATTAATTAAGAACACGAAAAACAGTGAAAATATGAACGTCACTTGTGTGCAATATAAAATGGTTCTGTAAGAACACTTTAATTTCTGACCAATTTCTGAGAAAAAAAGGAATAAGAAGGAGAAATGATTACAATGTAATTCTCTCTTACAGATTGCATTCTTCGCCTTGCTTACGCAATATTCCGCTCCGGAGTATGGTGACGGGTATAAATACAGTAAAGGAGCCTTGGTCTGTGGTATAATGGTCGGCATGTTACCTATTGCAGCAATGGTAGCTATAGGAATATTTTCTGTAATAAATCAAGACGGTTCACTGTTACAGGTACAGTTTCATTCAATCTTTTTTATTAACATTCGTTATTTAAAGATCCTGTAAGTCAATTTTTTATATGGTTTTATAAATATGATGCTCAAATGAAGATTTATCAATACTGTATGTTCCAAAAAGCATTATTTGTAAAGGTATTACCGAATTTACATTTCATGTAAATAAAGGGAGGTAATTAGAATTTTATTTTCTATAAAGTCTAAGCCAAATTTTTCGAACAGAAATTAATGCATATATTTCAATGATTACATATAATGTGTTTAAACATTTGCAGTACATATTTAACATATTCTTGGATGTTAAAAATTGCATTAGAACAATAATTATACACATACATGTATATAAAATTTCACTTAAGTGTTGTTACATCCTTTATTACAACATACTGGATCTTTAAGGGCATTTGAATGTGTATATGAAAAAGGTGCTATATAAGTTTTGTAAAAAATAATAACAATAATTTTCCTGCGGCAACCGAAAAGTGATTAGCCTTTGCCACCAGTATAGAGCTGGACCAGCCCGCACATTCGTGAAATCAGATCAGGCTCTTTACTGTTGGATAACAAGCGTTCAAGTTTTAACTTGATACCCCTAAAATTAATAATGAACGGTCCTAAAAGTTAAAGTTGGGAAAGTCCATATAAGAAATTCAGCGAGTTGAGGATTTTTTATTCTCTCACCCTATTTATTTGATTAGTTTGTAAATTATATAACTTTTCAAAATATGGATATAGTCTTTGCATATAGATACATATGCATACACACTTAGATATCAAATTCATTCATATGGAAATAGTACTTTTAAAGTTTTATTTAGATTTTCCTTAACAAAATATACTGCGAAGAATTTAAGAAAGAAAATATGAACGGTCAGTATCGTTCTTATTGGATGGGTATTGGTTGTATTTCTATACGTCTTACAGCTGTTGGGTCATGAATACACATTTACACATACAATCATTCAGAAAAGCAAATGCATGCTTGTGTAATTTTCCCTATATATACCTCAAAAGATTGTGGAAATTATAGCAATTTTATCCTTTCTGTTGATATGGAAATATAAAATGAATATAATTATAATTGATCAGATATTTGCTATGATATATATACATGTATATGATTATTATTTTCAGCGTTTTGTAGCGAGTCTAAAACCAAACGACACTTGGGGACCGTATGAGGAAGGCACTCGGGAGAAATACCTCATGAAACCTTATGTTTACCCATCGACATGGTGGCAAAAGTTCAAAGAAAATATTACAGGAACAAAAGATCATTTTTCATTGTGAAAACAATTGACGTGACTTTAGTTATATATTCAATATTATATTGCATTTTTTTATACATTTTAATACATTTAGTTATGACTAGACTTATTGTCAGTTTAAGAGAAATATTGGTGATAATTGATATTTCAAAATATATTCCAATTCCTTTTTAACGAAATTTTAACTTTTTTTTTAAATATACAGTCAAACTTCTTAAGACGACCGACAAAATCTATACCAATTCATATTTTTAACGGATTTAAATATACAGTTAAACCTCTGCAGAAGCAACGCCCTTTGGTTGTTTGGTTGTTTCCGAGAGGTATTTCTCTAGGGAGGGTCTTAATTTGGGAAGAGTTGATACAGTTGTTGTAAATAGGTGATTGTTCAATAGAGGGCCACTCTGCAAAGGTTGCACTGTAAATATTTTTTTGAAAACTTTGTTTTTTATTATCATACTTTTTGCACTTTTTATAACCGTTACGGCAACAGAAATAAGTTGTTATAAAGATGGATGTGACACGATTAGTACGGTAACCCAGATCATACAGGTCACACTGTTGTTTACAGCAAACTTGTACTAGTAATAACATTTATTTGTCAAATTGTTTCTGCTTTTAAGAAAGCAGTATGGTTAACACAATTATATTTCCTAAAAGGCCCATTATGCCTCATTAATATTTTCATTTTTATCTCTCAAAAAATGTTTTTTTTTTTTTGCAACTTGTTAAAAAAAATACTCAAGAACTATCGTTGATTCTTTTGCTTTATTGGCAGTTGTGTAATGAATTACTATTTTGTATAGAAGTTAAAATTCTACCTTAATTACACCTTGCTACTTTTACACACACTACTGCAAATGCAGTGATACTTTCTTCAGTTGTGCTTCATTATTAAAACATTATTAAACATTTGTTTGCCATGATTTATTCATTTCTTAGGCATGATGTGCTTTTAATAAAGTGTAACAGTTTTTTAGTAATACATCATATGTATTTTATTAAACCATGTAGACAGCCTTATTATGTTGGTAACTTTATTGTATTGTATAAAAGTATTGTGTTCATGTATTAAATTTGGATGCATCCGATTTTATAGTTTCTTGGATTTCAATCTGTTCTTTGAGTAAATATCCAGTTTAAAGAAACATTATTTAAATAAACCTTTGTATAGTCTGTATTACCTGCCCTTTGACTATATGTTTATAATAGATGCTTGGAACCAGACTAACCTGTGTATATTGACTGGTTATTTGTTGTTGTTGTTGTTGGACTCATATTGTATTTGTTTGACTACAAGTGTAACTTTAGTTATATCACACCGTAAAAAAATGTAACAAATGAATTTTCAGCGTTTGCACCATGATATCTCCCAATGAAAATCAATATTCGATCCAGTCATATCAATCAAGTCTCGTTGTTATTGCTAGTCCAAAAACCTATATCAAATTAATATTGTTCATTTATTTTCCGAGTCCAAAAAGTCCATATTAAATCAATATTGTACTCCGTCTAGCCTAGTGTTAACTTCATCTACGCAATCAAGCTTATCATTTCCCGGAAAGAATAGAATTATGTTGTTTACTTAACCTTTTAATCTTAAAATATACAACATGTATATGCAAATTCATTAAAACTTCTTATTATATTTTGTTTATTGTTGTTTATATTTATCTCGCACGGCTTTTTGTCATAACATAATGCAAATTTGTATAATTAAGTGAATGTTAATCGTGAAATTGTTAAAGTTTAACCGCACATAATCGCTTACCGACAAACCGAGCTATCAATCTTTTCAGACTTTGTTAGTAATTTAAGGTAAACATGTAAACATGTTTTTATATGTAAATTGAGTGAAAATACTTCAACATTAAATTCAAAATGGATGAAACTGATTTTGATAATTTGGACAATCTCAGCACGACAACTCAAACATCACCAAACGTGTATACAATTCTTGAATCACATAAGCGGAATGGCATAAACACACCCAGAAAAGTTCATGGTGATCGGTATCTGAAGAGATCGTCAGTTTGTTTGATGATATTTTTTATCCTGAACGTTGCTGCAATTTGTTGCATCGGATGCGGAGTTCTTGTGTTTCTTCTGACCAATAAAAACACGGAATGCAAAGTGATCCTCCCATCAGACTTTGCCATTTCCGAGAAACAAGTGCAAAGTCCAGAAATCGAAGCGGCAGCTGAAAAGGAAAACTCAGACGAAGGGATCAATGCTATATCAATTGTTAGCCAAGGTATTTTTTATTATTGATTTGGAGATATAAGTTTATTTTAGTTTAATAATATTTTATTGCTCTTTGAATACAATTTAAGAACATTATTTTCACATAAGAACAATTTTAACAAAGAGTAAAAGGGTTGAACAACAAGTTCTAGCAACATTATTAACTGTCCTTTCCTTAAGCATTCGAAGCTATAGAAACGAAAACATGTTTAAACATATGAGCAGTAACAAAGTATAAGAGGGATACAAATATAAAGTAGAAGATAAGATTGCTTTACTATCATGATGTTTGTTTTGTTACTTGTGTGCTGTCTGCAAAAAAGGAAAACTGGAAACCTTACAGAGTGTCAACATGGCAAAATTGAATATGCTGCAATGTTTTAAGCTCGATTTGATTGAGCATGCACACGGACAACAGTGGTTAAGACATTTTACCTCCAAGGCTTAGTTTAAATTAGTATCAAAAGGTCTTCTTTAAAAGTATTGTCACTAAATATACAAGGTTGTAGGCATATGTGATTTTGATTTCGAAAAGATTGGTCTGATGTGGTTAAGTTAAATGTATTACAGACATGTACATGTAGATAATTTGAACATGCATGTATGCCTTTGAAGTAAAAACACATTTAACAATAACAGATAAGCAACTTAACAAAAATGAGCCGCGTCACGACAAAACCAACATAGTGCGTTTGCAACCAGCATGGATCCAGACCAGCCTGCGCATCCGCGCAGGCTGAACAGGATCCATGCTGTTCGCTATCAGTCTCTTTACTTGTAATAGGGTTATTAAGCGAACAGCATGGATCCTGATCAGACTGCACGGATGCGCAGGCTGGTCTGGATCCATGCTGGTCGCAAACGCACTATGTTGGTTTTGTTAATGGCGCGGCTCCAATACATTGTTACCATTTGCTGTTTCTTTTAAGTCAAAGGGAAAAAGAAGTCGTTTTAATTCTAATTAATATAAAACTATGAATCGTATCAGAATTTGGTTCTATATATAACAGGTTGTCATGGTAACTGGATAGAGTACGGCAACTCGTGCTACTTGTTCAGTAACGAATCTGTCACGTGGTTAACTGCATTGGTAAGATACATTAGAAGATACATTACAAGTTTAATTACAAGATACCAATATACATTACAAGATACCAAGATACATTACAAAATGGATTACAAGATTACATTACACGTTACATTACAAAAAAACGAGATAGACGTTTGTTTCCCTTTATCCGTTTAAAATCCGGGACAGATTAATTTGTTTTTTGTTTCTTTTTCTCTTGTTTTATCGCTCTTTTTCTTAAAACCTTCTTGACATTATTTGCAACTATGATAGACAATGATATTTATACTAATATGTGGTTGCATATTTATTTATTCCTTTACTCTGCATTTCGACTGAATTTATTATTAGTACATTTGTATCACGAAAACATAATATTATTGGATTGTTAAAACATATCTAAAGTAATCCATTTATTAATTTCGAGTTTATACATTCAATAGTTAAAATCAAGAACAATGACATTTCCCTCAAATCAAACATCATAATTTCGGTTAAAAAAAGCTTAAAATTCTTTTCAGACTCGTTGCCAAAATGAAGGGGGTTATCTTGCCGGGATTAAATCAGAGGCAGAAGATGAGTTTGTGAGACAATATGTCAAACACGTTCAAAAATCGGGTCATTATTATATGTTGAGTTAACGAGAAATGACGAAACAATTGGGAAAAAAAGTTTTTAAAATAAATTCAAATTTAAAAAATCCAGATGCAAACAAATTAATCAAAGTTAAAATTGTTTTAATGTATTTCAGGAACTAAACTTTGATATCCAACTATCCATTTATATTTTTCAAAATTGTAATTTCCTGTTTGTTTGTTTTGTGTGTGTTCGAAACCGTATCACACTTATAAACTAAATGGACACAAAATGTGTAATATAAATCCGTGATGAAAAGTAACCACAACTTTCTCCTTGTCTTTTCCCTTGTTTAAAAAGACGTTAAAAACAAAATAGAATTTAGAAAAATATTGTAATATGAGTATATGTTTTTGTTTAAGATTGTTATCAAAATAAGTCAAGTGAATATAATGGAGTGCGGCAGACGACATATGACGGTCACGTGTGTCAACGATGGGATTCACAGACGCCGCATATTCATACGCGGAACAAAGCGGAAACATTCCCAGACAAGACTCTAGTCAATGCCTCTAATTATTGTCGTGATCCAGACGGTGAGGGGTTTCCTTGGTGCTACACAACAGATCCGAAAATAAGATGGCAACATTGTGGAATTTATAGCTGCACTGGTGGTATGCATGCTTTATATATTTTTCCCTTCATTATCTTTAAAGAGCTGAAGATTAAAACCAAATGAGTAATGAGTTAAAAAAGTAGTGCACGGTTTGCACATTTTTATACATATTTTTTATTCATTAACAGTGAATTATTAAGAAAGATTAATGGTCGCAGTTTTGTATATTAACATTTATGTCAAATATTTAGCTTTAAAGCCAAAACATAAATTAAGATAATTTTTGCACCAAAAGTTTATATTTTCTTTCAATTTAACACGAATCATGATTAATATAATTGTCATTCAAATTTGCTTGAAAAAAAAATTTAAAAAAATAATCTTAAAACTAAAACGCAGGTGACTTCTGGATTGGGCTTGTAACGCTTGAAGGACAGTGGAAATGGATGAACGAGAAAACAGAAGACACACATTATACTCACTGGGCAGACGGCAAACCCACGAAAGGAATGTGTGGTTACATGGCGGGAACATTGGGATTTTCCTGGAATGCTCAAAGTTGTGAATATCCGGCAATGTACGTGTGTGAAAAGTCAAGTGCTTCACAGTTCCCAGCATAAGATATTTTTGGAGCAGACGATATTCTTTTGTCATAAAAACATGTATATTTATTTTCAGACGCTGAACGCACAAAGTCAAAAAACAATGCACGTTATTTATCCTACTGAATTTGTTTTATGCATTTGCCAAGCTTCGTATTTGCATCAGCTGTTTTTTTTAAATTTTATGAATTTTAATATCAAAATATTAAAAATTGAGGTACTAACGATAACGAGCCTGGTTACGCTGCACGGACATGTCTTGCTCTATTTATATTACTTGCCAAGTCAAGACACTTCCGGTGCCACCAAATTAAGGGTTCACTGCTAAAGATCTGTCGTAATTTCATGTATAATTAATAAGCACATGTATATATGCATTCCTAATTGAGGATGAACAAAATGAAGAAATACAATTAACATTTTGTAAATTGATTGATGCAAATATGTAAATATGTTCAAACGCAAAAATATTTCACATAATATCAACAGTTTAATTTTGCTGTCAATAGGTTTTGCGTTTTCTTTGTAATTACTTTGGTAATGATGTATTCCGAATTACTCCGAAATACTGATGCCTTTTATAATGTTATGATAGACATGTAGATATCATAACTTGTATATGTTTTATTCACATATATATGTACACGCTATAAATCTATTTTATTTGGAACGTAGTAGTTGTTAATAATTTGCTTTTTGATTACAAAAGCAATTCTGACAATACAGTGAGTGTTTTTGTATACACGCAATGCATTATGCATGTAGAAATAAATCATTGTATTACAATTGAATTAAAAATACGCAAGAAAAAATGTTTTTTTTATTCACACCTTATAAAATGTAAAAATGAACTTCCAGCGTTTTGACCACGTGATCTCTCAATATAAATCATAAATGAATCAAATTTTAGCAATTCAGCCTCGTTTCCATTTGCCAGACAAAAAAATTCGTATAAAATCACAATTGTACTCATTATAGCCTTTTTTATTTTTTAAACTTCCAATTACAAATTGTATTCGCAGTAACTAAATTCTGTCGAAAAGTTGAAGGTGTACAATAAAGATATCAATATTCATTGCTTTGTACAATACTGATTTTATTGGACTCTTACACAACTGCAAAGCCTATATAAGACTATGTGTGTGTGTAATTGAGTTTATTTTTACTCGCCACCGGTTGCCGTTATGAGCGAGTCCTCCAAGAGAGTATTCGTAATTTTAGATTTTGGATAAAAATGCAAGATACAGAAAGATGCCATAAGCTGTGTACCAGTCCAAAGAATTCAACATTTCACATTTGTACTTAACAATGTGAATTAACACCACATTAATATATTACTTTACATCATATTTACTGTATGCTTTGAAAATATAGTCATTTTATGTTATTTTTACTTAGTCTTGTGATTCAATGGCATTACTTAATATAAATCGTTATCGATTGTTATTCAAGTCAGGTCAAGTCAGAAAACATGTATTTCTCGTATTCCATGTACAAACATGACACAATGAGGTGACAAACATGAATAAAAGTACAATGAGGCTCAAATAGCAGTTAATTAACAAGTAAGCAGCACGCCTCCAGATTCATACTGATGTTCCTGAACATTTTAACGTCTATTTAAAAGTAAAAAATATTATCAAAAGAACAACGTATATGATCAATAAATTGCAAACGACATTTACAGTCCACGCAAATAACCAAAAAGAGGTCAAAATATGCAAAAATAGCCCTTACTGCGTTAGTTACGCAGTAGAAATATGATGATGAATACTGCACAATTGATCTTTAATCGCACATAATTCAAATTATTACATTGTACTTAAATGTCGGAGATTTTTTAAACTTTTTTTAAAAGTCTTAGATAGATTTTTAAAGATAATTTGGCTAATCTGGAAGCGTGCAGCTTTAAAAGAAAGAAGCTCCACAAAGGTCCGAATAGCTATTGACATTTTGTCTTTCTCACTATTCCTGGGATGAACTTATGGTCACTTTAACTCTTGGGCAAATTTATTTCACAGACGTATCTTAATTTCATATAACATTCCTCGTCATTCCAGCGAAATGAGTAACGTTTTTCTAAAGAAGCACAATCTTCACCACGCCCCCTGGCGTCATCGGGTTGCCCAGGTGACCAGTTCGTGTACATTTCTGATGTTAGCCGAGTATTACTCCCGCTCCAAATCCACACGCCTTCATCTCTTTGATCTGTTAATCCGATCCAATAGTTACCTGAAACGTTATATGAGCCGTGTCACGACAAAACCAACATAGTGCGTTTGCGACCAGCATGGATCCAGACCAGCCTGCGCATCCGCGCAGTCTGATCAGGATCCATGCTGTTCGCTTACCAACTCTATTACAAGTGGAGAAACTGATAGCGAACAGCATGGATCCTGATCAGACTGCGCGGATGCGCAGGCTGGTCTGGATCCATGCTGGTCGCAAACCCACTATGTTGGTTTTGTCGTGACACGGCTCATATAATTCCAGGTAATGAGTATTACGCATGAACAGTAATATTTGTATTACCAATATTCGTATTTTTATATTCTTAAAATTATAGTCAAAAAACGCAATGCTTATAAATGTGAGTTTATAAACTGAATATTGATCAATCATTCTTCATCTTTAAAATGATCATGATATTGCATAAGTAGACCTATGCCCGATATAAATGCGGCGTTTATGTTTTATCCATTTTGTAAACAAATAATCGTAACTAATCTAAACAGAAATCGAATCAGTTGTCGTTGTGACAAAACACAACGTATATGTATAATTCCGTCTCTAGTTAGCTTTGATAGTACATGCATTGTTCCCTTTTTCAGTCAATGTGAAATGCAGTTAAAGTGCTGTTATTTTTTTCCCGGTCCTTCAGGACCAATGATCCAAATATTTTATAGTGTTAGAGATTGAATACTGCTTCAGCCGGTGCTACAGGGCATGAGAGATGTTGCATAGCATTGTCCTTTATTGACAGACTTAACCAAACCTAGTCTGCAATGTTTATTTATTTTATTTTTTTTCATTGACCAAGAGAGCAATAATTGTTACTCACTATATACGTTCCTTGCCTTGGTTCTCATTATATTGTCTTCATCAATATCTGATATCTCAACAAGTTTACTATCAAATGCTTTGCAGGCTTCCTAGTACAATAAAAGAGTAGAAAAAATAACACGTGATCATAAAAACACGGCTTTGCATTTATCTTTCAACGATGTGTCTTTGTCTAAAAGAGATAAAGAGTTCCATTATCATCATAAGCATCATCATCATTATCATCATCATCATTAATATCATCACCACCATCATCATCATCATCATCATCATCATCATCATCATCATCATCATCATCAACATCATCATCATCATCAGCAGCAGCAGCAGCAGCAGCAGCAGCAGCATCATCATCATCATCATTATCATTATTATTATTATTATTATTATTATTATTATTATTATTATTATTATTATTATTATATTTCTCATCAATAGTCGACATTCAATAATTTAAAGCGTTCTGTGAATATATGTGTAATAATTTTGACTTTCCTATCTCTTTTTTAAATTAAAAAGGGCGGATGACAAGGCCTGTTTATAATCATATGCCATCAATTTCTAATATCGATATAATATCATTACATAATAAACATTACACTGGCAAAATATCAAGCTGATAATGAAGTCAGACCACAAATACTGACCAAAGCATCCGTCCAGTTTTTAGAATCTGTGCTAAAATAGTAACAAGACGATGAAGTTTTTAACCAGTCATCTGGACATGGTTTTCCTGAAAGTTTCAAAGACATATTCTACAACTTACAGTAAAACGTCGAGTTCATGGAATTGGCTTTTATAGGTAATTATCAGATATGCAACAACCATGTATAAATATTTAAGGATATATAATAATCAAGGATATACATATTAAAAACTTAGGATATAGTTATTATATTCAAGGATTAGAAGATGGCGGTTACGCTACTATTTACAAAGTCGGAAAAACGATCTATATGTATATGTAATGATGAAGGAGGTTTAATCAAGAAAATGCAATTATCAATCATGTATAACCAATGAAATAAGTTACCAAGGATACTTAATAATCAAGGATAAGTAAAAATCAAGGATATATTATAGTTATCTGATTATGCCAATCACGTTAACACGGCACTAGTTTAATTCCAAAAAATCAATGCACTACGTTGCTTTGATTTCAATAAGCGCAGAAAAAGGTTTCATGATAAAATAAAGAAAACTTTTGAAAGTCAACATGAGACCAATCTCTAAATATTCAACGATTTAATCATGCTCCATAGAATAAAAAATTTTCAAAGCGACAATATTTATTTCTGTACAAAAGTAAACCTTTTATAGTAGAGGTTGTCGAATTCCAAACTACATTTGATGCGGAAACTTCATATTCAGGAGTTGTTGCTGCTGTTGTCGTTACTCCTTGAGAGTCGCGTTCAGTTGACAAATTGTTTGGCGTCTCGAATGTAGACACCGTTGTCATTTCACTTGGTAGAGAGATGTCACGATCGGTTGACGAATAGTTTGGTGTTATTGTTGTAGAATCCGTTGACATTTCACTTGGTAGAGAGATAGCTTCGGATAAACCGGAAGTCAATGCAACTGTTGCACTTTTTGTCATAGTATGGGATACCTCTGGTGATCCGAATTTCATTCCTTGAATGTTACAAGTGCATTCCATGCGCTCCTTTGTCACGAAATAAACCAAAATTCCACTACTAGAAGAGACGATGGCAGACACGATTATTGTTGTAGCAATTATCAGGTATACCGTTGATGTTTTCATGTATCCATGGCAATGGTTGTTCTTCCTAACTTTTGGTATTTTGCTCAGCAATGTGTTGTCATTCTCCTGATGCAGGATGGTATAGCCACAACTATCCTTGTCGTCAATATTTGTTTCACATAAATTTTCAAAATGTATATCTTCCATGTTGTATTCCTTTTGCCTATGAACAGTTTGGCAATTGAAGGGAATGCAGACGATCTATTTAGTTCATGGGAATATATGTTTGCCCGGCTTGATAATGTGAAGTCACAATCAGAATCTTTTCAATAAGATCGTAAGCGTTTTTGTATACATAATTTCTCTTTATTATGAATACGTTTTTCACTTCCTTATTTATTCAAACTTTTGTTTTAAATGTATTCATACTGCAGAGACCAATAGTTGATTAGTTTAGTAGCTTGGTTCGCAACTTACAGATTATTATATGCTTTCTATATTAAGGGCTTTGATTTTTTTTAAGATAAAAAAGCTAAAAGTATAGCGTTACAAACAAAGCAGTATTACATTATATTACATTACATTACAAAGCATTATTAAATCTGCATATGAACTAAAATACTTCGAAAAAATCAAACTTGAGAAAAATTAACTAAACATTTATTAAAAGTAAAAGAAATGTAAAATTTAAATAAGAAATTATATTTAATGTGCGATTAATGGCTGATCTTGCAGCATTTATTACTATCTTTCCTACTGCGTGACTAACGCAGTACGGGCTTTTTTGTATAATTATTTAACTTCATTTTGGTAATTAACGTGGACTGTAAGTTCAATATCCTGTGTGTTAACTGATCTTTTGAATACACTTTCAAAATTTGCATGAACATTAGCACGAGTCTGGAGGCATGCTGTTTTAAAAGTGTACTGTATATATTTTTATATCTATTTTTCTTCTTGTGTGAGCGTGTGCGTGTGATGTGATTTTCTTTTTTATCATTTTCTTGTTTGTTTTTTGTTGTTGTTTTTTTGTGTTTTCTGCTATGTGTTTTGTTCATTATTATTGTTATAAAAAAACTCTTTCTTATATTGATGACGTTTTACTGAGGGGAATTAGGTTTGCCAGTATTTAGTCCATGGCTGTATAAGAACTGAATATTAAATATTCCAGCAATTGGACTATCGTCTTGTCGCCCTGTTGCTAAGATCATTTGAGCCGTGTCACGAAAAAACCAACATAATGGGTTTGCGACAAGCATGGATCCAGACCAGCCTGCGCATCCGCGCAGTCTGATCAGGATCCGTGCTGTTCGCTTACAAACCCTATTACAAGTAGAGAAACTGACAGCGAACAGCATGGATCCTGATCAGACTGCGCGGATGCGCAGGCTGGTCTGGATCCATGCTGGTTGCAAACCAAGTATGTTGGTTTTGTCGTGACGCGGCTCTTTTAGCTTTTCAAGGCGCTTGCTCTCAATAAAAATGTAGTGAAGAGTAGTTGTAAATTTGTTCGAGTTTCGTAAAGGACCATAACGAGTTAACAGAACTTCAAACATTTGAAAATAGCGACTAAAAGGCTGTACTTGAAATCATATCAATATCTCCTAATAAATGTAATTTAAACATTTGATAAACACTTACTTAACAATTTACACTCTTAAATGTGTTTTATAGTTCAACAATTGATGTCATAAAATGTAACAAATCGACCAGGTTTTACAATGACAAACAAAACCATGAATTTCGGTACTTTTGTAAAATTACATTATAACAATATTCCCACCAACAACAGTACATTTATCTTTGAAAGAAATTTACATAAATGAAAAAAAAATTGAGGGTAATTCCTATTGTCGAGTTGTTCACAAAGACCCAGTAAATAAGCTCGAAATAATGTACAATTTATCTTCATTCAACAAGAAGTAAAAAAACCTCACCTGTTGACTTTTACTAGTATATCATTATTTGGGCTAAAAAGCAAACAAATTTTATATGTATATGAAATAATGTAAAACCAATATACGTCTTTAAGCGATGATAAGCATTTTTGTTTTGTTTAAAAAAATGGCTTATTATCGAAGTGTGCTTAACATAAATAATCATAAAAGTTTTAACGATAATTTTTAATGACAACCGATGTTCAAATAAAGAATATGAACTGACATGTTTAGACTGGTTTCTTCCTTCTTTCCTGGAAGCAAATCTTTAGTTGTATATAAAGGGACCAACTATTCATAAATATTCATAAGTCCTGGACTATTTGACAAGTAAGTATTACATGCCGCCTCTTAAAATAGTCGATTTTTTATTTTAGTTTTAATATTCATTATCCATATAATGCAATAATATAATTAATTAAATATTGCGCATAGCTTAACTATAAATATATAGAGGATATTATTTTTTTATATAAATACAGGATATTTTTTTCATCAATTGGTATGAAAATAAATACATTTTGTATTTCATGAATGGCGGTTGCCACGAGTGAAATATGATAATTTTCATATCACAAGATGAAAATAAATCCTGTATTTATAGAAAAAACTTGAATTTTCTGTTTATTATATTCATTTTTCAGTTTTTGACATTTTGATTTGAAAGATTGTGTTTTGGCTAAATATTTTAGAAAGTATTCCGACAAGACACCAGTGAAAATACTGAAAATATGTTTCACTGCATTGAAAAATAAATTTTTACAGTGAAAATACGGAAAAATGAGAATACGCATTTTATTTCGTCAATATTTCTCAAAACATGTATTTCATTCAAAAGTATATAATAAATTGGTTTATTTCTAAAATTTAAATACTTATTATGAACATATTGTTTTATTTTGATTTTTTAAACAGTTCGACATATAATATATCTTGCCGTTTGAAAAAAAATACTTGCCAGGAAACAGAGAGATATAAAGAGCCAATCTCATTTATAAGTAGAACAGTGTACAACTGTTTTCCGTATGTTAAAGCCGCATGCCTCAAGATGAGCCAAAATATCTAAAAAATCAAATTTGAGAAAAAAGTACATTGTGATTTACGTGTAGTGTAAGTGCTGTTTTTAATGTGTAAATTACTTTCTTTGTTCATTGCACATATTGAACTTTAAGATACATTTTCAAAATTTTCATGAAAATCACCATGAATCTGGAGGCTTTAAACATGATACTATGATCTGTAAAAAAAGATAGTGATAAAAAAAATGCAAAATTGATAAACGTCAATTTTTGTCTGAAGAAGACAAAACGGAAAGCTTTTGTTTTCATTGAACTGATTATATATGAAAGATCTGTATACAAACATAAATATTTCAACATTAAATGCATAATTTGCAATATCTAATTTTTTTTACAGGAAACAGGAGTTAACTTTCTAAAATGGGCGTTGTAAAAGACTTTCGAGAGGCCTTTAAAGGTGTTTGCCCGTGTTTACATGCACGTAACTCATTCGAGTGGTGTTCAAGAGTGGGATAAGGGGTTATTTTTCTCCTCGTTCTGCCGTCACAAACCGTCGGGATGTTTACATCACACTGGGTGTACAGTGATAACTGTTCCGATGTTAATTTACTGTATAAAGATTGTGGTAATGCAACAATTAGTGGTCCAAACGGTAAGAACTGTCATTCTATTTATAAATACTTATAAACATACATTTATTAGAATAGTTTGTCAGGTTTTATTGATCTCATTGTCAAAACAAATCAAAATCAAAACATTTTTCATATCATTAAAGTAAAATTTAATTCCACAATCCTTCAAAAAATAAATGAAAAATAAATGATATATATAATAAAATAGAATTAATATAAATAATAACTTTACTAAATGATATTCTCAGTTTAAAAGCATGAATGTTATCAAATTATCGAGCCAACATTGTTGAGATACATCAACTACAATCAAACCTGTGTTAAAGCCATCTCTTAATAAAGATCACACTGTAAATAAAGGACACTCCTCTCGATCTCTTATTAATCTAAAAACACAAATTATAACCTCCAAATAAAGACCACTTGGTCTCTCCATCGGATGACCCTTGATCACAGGTTTGACTGTCTGTATGACACTTTGACTTGTTAAAAAGATGGATGTATTACATTGATATTTTTTGTATTTAACAGCTCTAGGATCATCAGCATTTGGACTACAAGTGGCTTCTTATATCGTCCTGCTAGGCACCATACTGGTTTATATCTGTATACTATGTTGCTTCTACAGAAGTGACGAAAATGAAAAAGAGAATCCAATTGGAAAGTTTTGTTTTCCTTGCTTTATCCCTATAGGCTGTCTGGTGTCAGGTGAATAATTTGATTTATACATAATTCTAACACTATCGGAAATTCTTCTATATAAACAAAGAAGGCCCGAAGCGTGCATTATTCTGCAACAATGCACTCGCCGTTCTTATTATCTCCCTGTGTATTTTCACATTGAGGGCGCCTTTTTGTTTGAAAAATCTGATAAAT